AATATCACAAATTGCGCATTTGGTAGCAATTTAGAGTCATAAAAGTTTTCATTTATGATTGTTTCTCATGAATATTCGATTCATATTTTAGGAAAAATTACTTTTTCCTTTTTTTTTTCATTCTCTCTTGTTTCTTGTTTTTTTTCCTTGGTCATAGTCTGCTTCATAGAGAAACCTTTCTAGCTGTCCTGATGACTACAAAAAAATAAACGACCCACAGTATGCAAAGAAAACACTGGAGGGTGTTTTCATTATGTGTTTGCGTTCACAGTACGCCAACCCACAGAAATCAGTACATTTGAATGCTAAGTGCAAAGATGAGGTTGTTTTTTTTTCCTTTTTAACTTGTTTTTTAAAGGTCATTTATATGAGACAGTACATACGTTTAAGATTTGATGTTTAGATTAGCTAATTCCATTACAGTTAAAATTTTTATTGCTTCCATTGAATATTGGCTTGCGGAAAGTAGATAGATAAATTACTCACAATTAGTAACATAATTTCAGTTGGAATTAAATAAATTTCTCGCTTTCGAGTTTTTGTCGAAAATTTTGAATTTTTAATACTTTACTCCAATGAATAGTTTTTAAATTGGTTTCAGATAGCGAACATTATTTTGGAAAGCGAATTTGATGTTCGGTTAGATCCACAACTGTACAAAGCTTGCAAGAACACTATTTCAAAACACTGCTCTGCTGATGTCATCAAGCGTGGTGGAACTTTTGATTCAGTTTTGGAATGTCTCAAGACCGATTTTAGGCTTAGTGCCATTAGAGATGCTGATTGTACACAACAGGTTTTACGCTTTTATCAAGTTTAAGCCGTATTTATCACAAAATTACTTTGCTAGAGCTTTCTGATACAAGCTAGGTTCTGTTTGACGAGTCATCTCGTAAATAAATTCGTTTTATTTTTTTGTTTTGATTCATAGGAAGTTGCAGATTGCTAGACGCTTGCAAGAATCATTGGTTGATATCCATCTTGATCCGATGCTGCATGAAGCTTGCGCTAACGACATTCAGCGATTGTGTTACAATGTGCCACCAGGGCAAAGTCGATGTAAGCAACACACTTTAAATTGTTAGATATATTTTTGATTAAGGATTCATGAATGTAGTGGTTACAGTAATGATTATGCGGAATTCTTTTTAATTTTTTTCTTCATTTTAATACATTGCTGCAATTACTACCTAAACAACTTTTTACATATTTACAGTAATTGTATGTTTACTGGATTCGTTGATGAGTGAAAACGCAAAACTTTCACCAACCTGCAGAGATAAACTCACGGAACGAAATAATTTGTGGAATAAAGCTTACAAGGTTTGTTTATCGAAATTCACAGATTTACAAAAATTTTCTATCTTACCATCAAAAATTGTTTCAGATTAGTTTTTATTAATGCGAATATATTTTTGAATTAATATGACACTTTCCCACACAATCCTTTTCTGACAAAGTATTCGCAATAGTGAAAAACCGAACTTCTTACTTTTACTGATTGATCTTGAACCAACAACACGGATGCTATTGCAGGAACAACAGATGGCATTGCCAGAATCATTTGCAGAAATGGTGAATATTGTAGTAACCCATCCCCAACGAAATTCATTACTCACGTGGTTTGGCGCTTTTATCTTAATACTGTTCTTCATTGGATGTTGTTGTGGAAGAGCAACAAAACGTATAAAACATGAATTGAAGAATCGTTGAAAGATGAAATTTAAAACATGGATTGCTGGATTTTGACCTATGAAATTTGTCCTACTTATTTAGAAAGTGTGTCATTATTTATTATGTGGGACAAACGGGTTCTATGCGAAAATCATTTTATTATGAATTGCTTCTTTTTTCAGATGGGTAAGTAGGATTTACATTAAAAAGAATGATTACTGAATTATAGGTTATCTTCGATTTCCTAGAAATTTGCTGGTAGGTTTTGTAAATTGTGTTTCCAATGATGGTTTATGATGACTGTAACTGATGTTGGATCAATGAAATTTACATCGTCTGTATAATGTGTCTGTGTTGGAAACAGGTAGATTGTTTCTTTTTGGGGGAAAACTATTTTTATAGGATTCAAATCCCAAAGGGAATGTTGAACAGATATCCCTTAGTAGTAGCCCATTACGGTCTACGAGTTCATTCATGGAAATCACAATATCACTAGTGCTGCACTGCTTTCATGTCTGTCAGAATTTGTTGATTTATTGTTATATATACGTTTCTCGTATTCATTATTACAAAAGAAAACTAATATATCCTCAAGAAATCCATTATCTTTACCCGAAAAAGGTCTATCGGACGGTTACACTGTCATCAAAGATAAAGAGATATGGCGATGTTAGGTGTTCGAACGAAGCATGGCTTTAACTTAAAATCTGTTGAGGGATAAAGTTCTTAGTTATATAGATTTTGTAGGTAGTTTAATCACTTGGTAATCGCATAATTGTGATATTTATGATTCTTTGTTAACAGGCTGTCTACTCTATGAGAATGGCTCGGTGTATTATTTTATGTGAAATGTATGAATGATTGATTGCTTGGAGGAAGTTGGAGATTGTCATTCGATTTTGTTTTTTTTTCTTTTTTTCGCCTGAAATAGCATTCTATAGTGTGCACTTATCAGTTTACTATTGTTTTCCAGGTTTCATTTCGAGACATTGTTATGTCAGCTCCATGTTTTAGTACTTTACATTGTTAATTAACTACTGTCTTCATCAATTAATCCCTCACATGCATGACTGGCATGTTGTGGGTCTTACATAAGTTTGGTATCATCCATCTTGTGAGTCCAAAATAGATTCGATCCATCCCGGTCGTTTCCGTTTTCAGTTATTAGATCCTTGTTATGGTTTCAGTGTTGCTTGTTTCTTAACACAAAGTTTACAACCCTTTTTGCTTGGCTTTTTGAAGGACTTTCCTATTCGCCATTCATGGCAAATGGTTTTTTATAAGGTTTTTTCTGTGAATTTCCTTTTAAGCTAAGGGTAATTTCTTCCGAATTCACTTAATTTGTGTTTGGAGTGGCAAGACATTTAAGATATAGAGGTCGCCATAGTTTCGGCATCTTCTCTCCCGATTTTCCCGAACTTTAACCTCGGATTACATTGAATCCACTGGGATTTGTTTTTCAATACTCCGAATGCGTCGCTTTGCAAACAGTTGACGGGCAACACCCTTATTTCTTGATCCTTAGGTTTAACTCCTTAAAATTACTAAATTTCGGGACACCGCGATTGCTTTGCGCGAAACGAGAACTATACCATATTAGAAAATGGATTGCTTAAGAAAACACTACGTTCTCTCCATGATAAAACAAGTGTGGTGTGTTTTCAAATATAGGGCCATACCATCAGGGCGGCCATATCATTAACGTAAGATATAAGGAAAAGGAGAAAACACTGTCGCAACCTAGGTTTAATGCAAATCATAGATGGCGCAATATGGCAGCTTTAATGGGGGAAAAACATCGAAAAAGCTCATAACAATTTCTGTTATTGTCATGAAAATCCTAACCATTTATGCAAGGTCACACTGTTATCAGTGAGATCACTGGAAGGATTTGTCCATTTTCGCACATTTCCTGATCATTTTCCCAAATTACGGAGTTTTTAAATTGTTATTGGCTTCTATGTTTTCACTTTTTATTGTAATCCCGCACTCATCCATTTGCTATCAATGAACTTCCAACATTATATATTCCTTAACACAGCTAGTTCGTTTCTGTTCTAAAAACCTATGTAGACATTAGATTTATTTGATGTATTGAAATTTTAAGTATAAAATGGACTGTATAAGTTTTGCCACGTATACTAAATAAGAAATTGCTGAAGGGAGGATTTGGAAATCAGGACTCGTATCAGTAAAAGTGAACACCGGAATTGAAATTAGCTATTCCGCTGAAAATACACAATAACCAATCCATATTCGAAAACTTGGATTTTTGGTGAGTTATTTCAAAGGTACCAACCATATAAATAAGACTAAGTGAGAAACTATATACTATAAACAAGGCGAACAAATCACCCAAGTTAAAGTGAAATCCCTTCGATTTTCAATTACAATGGCGGATAATCAAACAAAAACACTAATGATCTTAATTCTAGAGCACTTACACTACCTATAATTAATTCTCATCCAGCGTCTTATGCGCATCTATTATTTACGCATTACATCCACTTGCAAGCTAAATGTAATTACAAGAAAATGTAATTACTAAATGTAATTACAAGCTTATGGACGTTGGAACATGTTACTGCAGTGTAATTCAGAAATTTTTTGCTTATTACATTTTTAAACACAAGGCGTTAGCAATCTGTCACTCCATAGGTTCTTAAGGGAAGAATACAGATACAGTCAATAAATAAGTGAGTGTTAACCATTGTTAAAGTTTTCTGGATGACAATGTTTAAACATTTCTCAAAAAGGAAAATACAGATTATGTCGTTTCTGAAAAACTAGGGAATATTCCTAAAATATATATGTTACTGCTTCATGAAAATGAGTAATCAACACTGACATGATACAATTAGCTTATTTCGAAATTATACATGAGCACTCATAGAGATTTTAACTGTCTAATCATATAGAAGATAAAATTCGAAAGATAAAAAGCTCATTTCTGTTCAGTCATGCAGTTGATTTATAATAACATTTACAGGAGAAAACTGAGATGTTGAATGCAACAGCAAACATATGAATTTCTAATCAGTCCACAAATAAACCACAGCTTTGAGAATATGTAACATAGCAACTCTGTAACGCCTATCAGCAATGCAGCATCCACGAATCGTTACCCCACTCCACTTCATCGTCATTAGATTTATCATCCTTCACAACTTCACCATCAGTTCCATTCAAAATCAGTGAATCCAACTCAGCATCCACTAGATCCTGAGCTTCCACTTTGGACAAATCATTTACCAAATCAGTGTGAGGATACTTTGCTTCACCATTTAAATTTTGTTGCCTTCTTTGTACTACCAGCCGATTCCTGAAGTCTTCCAAATTTTTGTTCCGCATTTCTAAGATTCTGATTCGTTCTAGCAGTTTACGCACTTCCTCCATTTGCGCTTTGCATTTGATATCAGCAAGGACCTTTTGCTCGCGCAACTCGCCGTTCTGTTTTATGAGCATATTGTAACTATTTACTGTTGAATTGCTTGATAAACTGTCCAGTTCGGATCTCAATTGATGTAAGGCTTGACGAAAACGACAGTTTTCCCGATGAAGGTTGTTCAAATGGTGGGCGATCTTCTCACGCAATTCGCTGCAATCTTCATCGGTAACGCGAGTCAAAGCTTTATTTAGTTCAATTAACAATTCATCAACATCCTTTTTACTGACATAATCTTTGGTCATTGATGAAGACGGTTCTACGCAGAGAGCTTGACTTCTTGCTGGTCTATATGGATACAGAACCGATGGGATCTCCAGGCTGCTGTGAACCTGACGATTACTAGCGATGGACGACATAGACAAATTTTTTGATGTAGCTTTCACGCTTAATCCGGTTTTCAAAATGCTTACTGGTTTCTTGGTAGAATTCTTGCACTTATGAATTTTAACATGTGTCTCTTCCACTTTCGGTCCTGAAATAATCAAGAATTATAATTTGCATACCTAATACACAAAGGATTAAAAAAAACTGATTTAGAAACATCAGCGCTTTCAAAAAAAGTTTCAAATTCAGTAACCAAAGTACATGATTTATCTTATTCAAAAATTTTCTCTGATTTCAACTGATCTGCATTCTCTTTAGAACTAATAGATGCAATTACCAGCATTAGTAGGAATACAAGAGTGATTTTCCAAGACACATTATATGCAGAGATTTTTTAGAATTTGTAGGCAAATGGAGATACAAGAAAGCTCAAAATCGAAGAATGAAGTAGAGAACGAGGAAAAACACGAAAAAGGGATACACTTGAATATATAAAATTTTTGCTTAATAAAACTTCAAATCTTATATTTTCTGCGCAGTACTAATACTAAAAACTAGTACTTTTATTTCGTACTTAAAAAAATATATGCGTCTCGAGACTTTTTCAGACATGTTATTTACGAATGTCTGGATTTGTTCGATAATATATGACAAATCGTTGGAGTTTACAAAAGGAAGAAACAGCAAGTTCAGAAAACCGTTATATGTCCGGATCTGACAAAACCAAGTTCTCCCGCCAGTTTTTTAAAACTGATGGTGAACGAAAAAGATACTGCAAGCAAGAAAGACAGATTTAAAAAAATCGGCCATAAATTTTCAATGTGTTAGTTTTAATTCTTGACGCTTCTAGATTTAAAAATTATATACTCTTCGAAAGCAACAATCATATTATTGCTAAACAGACGCTTGCATGGAAATGAATAAAATAATTATCGACTTGATATAAATGTCAAAATTCCGAATCAATTTGAGCCAATTTATTTCAAAATTCGGTTTCTTCCCCAATTAAAAAGCATTATATTAAACCAAGCATAGACAAAGGTAACTGGATGATAATAAACAGAAAACTAACTTGCTTTAGTGGATTTTTTTTGTGTTCGGATGACGGGGTAAACATCTGGAAAACTAAGACGTTTGCTCGGAATACGCTGCCGTTCAGAATGACGTTGCCTGACTGTTATATCAGACTTATCACACGCTATCTTGGGACTATGTGCAGCAACTTCTTCCGGCATCAATGACAATATGTCCGCTTTTCTATCTAAATAACCATAAAATTTCACAATTATTAGCTAAGTTCATTTCTAGAAAACAACGGAACCCAGAAAGTTCTACTGCATGCCAAAAGAAATTTACTAGATTGGATGTAAATTTCGTAAACTTTTTAGTCTTGACAAAACCCAAATCTTCCACACATTGTAGCTCTTCGATTCTATAAAACCAAAAAAAGCTTCCAAACCGGTACTCTAAGTAAAGCTTGAAAAATACTTTTTGATCTCAACAGAAAATATGACAATCACTATGAGGATATAGAGTTCAAAGAACAGTTAAAAAGAAATAAGGAATTAAAAATCTAGTGCAAAAGCATTCACATGGAAATTCTGATCTGAAACACACTGTATTCTTTACCGTCACTTCTTTTCATGTTATCACTTTTTTTTTGTTTTCTGCTTGTTCCAAAAAACCAGGTAACAAATAGCCAAAGCGTAAATTTGGGATACGAATGCGAGAAGAATGTCTAATCCTCGAAGCCGTACTGCTCAAAGTTTTACTTGAAATAGGCATTCTTTCATTTTTTGAGTCTCGAGGAATCTCGGGCTTCCTCGATTCGCTTAAGGTTAATGCCGTTGTTTCTTCCAGTGCTACTAAAAATAGGGGAAACTGCAAAGAAGTTGTACATACAAGTAAACAACACAGCATTTAATTAACCAAAAGTAAAAGTAACAATACTTTCAAGATAAACTGAGAATACTAAACGCAAATGAGCTCAATTATGGGTGTACGATGGAATATGGTTGACTTCATGGAAGTGTGTGCTTAGACGTTGGGAGAAACACTTACCATAACAATCATAAACAATGGATATCACAGAAGCTGGCTACATTTTCGGGTTTCATAATACAACAAAGCTCAGATATTCAGTAATTACCAACCATTTGAAACGCTTTTCGAGAAGTGTCCAGGTTCAAGTATTTCCTCAAATGATGCACCATATCGTTTGCTTGGATTGTGCTGTCGACGAACCCTAACATCTGATAGTTGGGCAGCAGTGCTTGGTGACTTGGCATTTTGCTTATTTGGACTTTTTACTGCCTTTTGCGGAACATTTTCTGAAAAGAACGATGTATTCAACACCTCTATCTTCCTTTGATCCATTAACCGAAATTACAGCGTCAAAGCCTGATCCTATAACAAGTCTATTCTGATAAATTTTTCTAAAAAAAGACAGAACACAACTGACAAATTTCTCAAAGAAAAAGCAGTTTAACATCTAATGCATTACACATACCTATTCTTTCCATGTCCGCTATTGCATGAAATGATTTTTTAACCACAGGTGATGAATGATCTCTGAGCATATCTAACAGGATTCTTGGTGGTGTACCCAAACGTGTATTTAAAGTACGAGTTCGATGCGACTGACGCATTGGTTGTTTAGTACTCTCTTTTTGTAATTTTTTCACCATTTCTACAACTGAGAAAGAGATGCAGCACTTCTAAATAACAAAACAGTAATCGCAAACAGCAGTTGAAATTTCAATCATTTTTCTGCAACGTAAATCACTGCTATAAAAATAATTTAACGAAATGAAAATTTACAAGAATGGGATCCAAAAAAGCAAAAACGGTAAACAAAGAAGATTGAATTCTTTTCCCTGCAATCAAAAGTGTTGAAAGTTACCGTAAAAATCCCATGGACCCTTTTTACTAAATGGATTCCTGAAGAGTTCCGCAAAATCGACACAATCTTAGTGGTATGCTTTGCTTATCTCGAGAGAATATGATCTTCTCGAAAATGTTAAAGCACTTCACATTCCTGGAAACATCCGACGCTACAGTAAAAACAACATGATAAACAAGATTGGGAGGCGAATATGCAAAAAATAACTTCCCTGATAACATTTTCTGGATTACAATATCGTAAAGTGCTGAGGTCTCATACAAACCCTCATGCTTAAGACTCCCGCTTATGCTTAAGAATATTCCTGTCCTCTTTTTTTTTCTCTATTTAAAATTAAAGGAAAACTATTATATTTTCTTGCTCTTGAATTCTCAAATGTTCCTTCTATGCTTGCTTAATTCTTTTCACCTAATATTTTTCTTTCCTTGAAGTATGCGATTTACGATAAAAAGTCGTGCTGAAAAGATTGAATCCGAAAAGAAAAAGTTATCGCCATACAACTACAAGCCATTGTAGCCAATTTCAGATTTTCACCACGATGCATGTGGCTTCAGAAACCTTATGACATTCCCCACTAAGTCTTGCCTTTTCGTTAAGGATTGTAAAATAAACTTAGCCATTCAGCTTTTGACGAAATATCGGGTAATCGTTTCCAGGTTTTAGGATCCAATACGATTATATCTTTCAGTACATTAATTCTAGATTAGTCAGGATATTGTCTTGTAGTTTCACGTAATATAACTCACATAGTTTTTGTCAAATGCTAATGTTTACTAAGTATATTAAGAGTGTTTTGATTGAAAGACTCAACTTTACACCATGATGCGATAAGGGTAAGTTCCTTAAAAGTGTAACCACACAAGCAACCTCGACATCACAGCTGAGAACTTAACCAAAATTTACCGGACTAGTTCCCAATAAGAAGTAAAGACCTCAACTCATGAACTTACACTCGATTTCGACTTATTACACGGCCCATCAATGGGATTTGTCTTCCAGCTTGAAACAGATATTTCCGATGGGGAAAATGCGTCACTTCGACATGAAGGAGCTTTTATCGAAACGTGAGGCTGATTGTAGTATTGCTTTGGCGATTTTGTATTTGCTCTAGATTTCTTTACAATGACTACACTTCTACTTCACGTCATCTGCTTTACGTAATTTTTAAGCTTATCTTTAGCGGAAGGCTATTTTCAATTTGAGCATGCCATGAAACAAAAATATTTCAAAAATAGAACAAATGCTGCGTTATAGCTGAACTACAAGTGTGGTTTTTATTCTAGCGCGAGAAGTTCGTTTTTGTCTTGTTTAAGACAAGGGCACAGTCCTCAAGAGTTATGCGCACTGTCTGCATTATTGGTGGTATCCAACCTTTCCTTAACCAGGAACCACTTTGGCTTTTTTGCAGCAAGGACCACAAGATTCAAAAATAATGAATCCTGTTAATTTAAAGATGAACTTTGATCGAAACTTTTAATGTATTAGTTAGATTTAAAGTAACATTATAATATAAAGAAGATGGAACATTTCCAATTTTAGTTTTTTGCATCAGTGCGATGTTTGAGCTTGCTCTTTACGGATTGGGTGGTTCCATGATAATACTATCGTTCAAAGCTACACATCTTTACTTCTAGTCGATTCCTGGCTTTGTTTTTAATTATAAACAAAGCAAAAAGCTCTTGTCTGCATAAGTTGTGGAGGAAAGTACGACATAGCGCAAGGCGATTCCCTGAATTGTGGTGTACAAATTTTTTTTTCTTTTTACACCAGAACCCTTCAAAAGAAGCTGATTCAAAGGCGTCTTTGTAGTTCCTGTTATTTTGGAATTCACTGAGCTTTTCCTGGACTTGCTCTTCAACCTACTCAACAGTAATATCAAAAGGACTGCGAATCAGTTTCTGAGCACTTTTTCTTTGGTTTTATGTTCCGGGAGTAATAATGGAATTGATCGATCAACATTTGCAGATAACCTCTGATGTCCTCTTGCAGATTCGCACTGATCATGGAATATTTGTCATCGACCACTGCTTTTTAATATCGCAAACGCAAAAGAATTTAGAAATAACTCAAGCTCTTTGTTAATTCATATAACCTTCTCAGCATATTGCCTTCGACAGCCAGCGAATTTCAGCATGAAAAAGAAGCGTCTCGTAATGGAAGTTTATTTCAATGCACAGTTTTTTTAAAAGGTGTGTATTTAAGCCACTGCTTTTGATAACACCGACCACTTTTCTGATCACTTCCATTGTATTAGCAAGGCAAATAGGAAGCCTTTGGAAGCTAATGCCTGATATGTATGATACAATGAGTTGCTAAACAGAAGGATTTTCTGTTTTATTCGTTTTGCTGGACCGGAGCGTGATCCTAATACAGCTGGTATGCCGTCCGTATAAAAACCGGCAGCATTTCCCACGTAATGTCACTTTTTTTAAAATATTCCGCCATTATATGCATGACATCGATACTTCCCACGTTGTTTCACGTTCCCACGAAATCATTAATTCCCCTAATAGTGTAAAGGCGTCTAAAAAGAGGCAACTGAATACAGTTAAAAACGTCTGTCGATCTATCACGCTACAGAGGGAAACAGGGAAATCTCAATTTAGGAAGCAAGCACCTCCTCAGTGTATTTTGAATAGTTTCCACTCTCAAACTTCTTTTGATAGCTTTGATTAAATAAAGCTTCACGAGTATTTACCTTATGTTGTGCGCAGTTTTTTTGATTTCGCTGTCAGTTTCATATCCTTACGTGACCAATGTTTTTCCGGCAACGCAAATCTTGTATCATCAGGCCCAAGTTCCATCTTTTTCAAATTTTTTAGTTTACCTTTGAAAAATTCCGGTGGACGGTGAGATTAGAATGAACCGTTTTTATGTAGCGTTTTCTGATAAAAAAAAAACATTGTTCCCGAGAACGGTGGCAGATATAATGCAGAATAGCTTCATTCTTCATTACTTCTAGTGTAAATTCAAATTTAATATAACTATGTCATATTCTTCCTTAGGCGCCAAATTCTGAAAATAAAACAATAAAAAAGCGGGTTGAAAGGCTTCTCCTCAAGCTACAAGCTGAATAAACCTCTATTGAATAAACCTCTTGGATTACCGAAAATTAAAATTAAAGTTACAAATAAATCGTCACAATATTATAAAACAGGTAATAAAAAAGGTGGGGAAGGGGAGAAGGAGTACTATAAGCAATAAAAAAGGTGAGGGACCAGACAGGATGATGAAATCCTATAAGTAAAAAAATTAGGGCGAAGACAAAGATGTAAGCTAACAGTGAGGTGGCGTCAGAAAAGAATTTCGGTATTTACAGTACAATAATACAAGCTGAATAAACCTTTATTATAGATAAACGAATCAAAGTATAGCTTAAAACAGAAAAAGAAGACGGCTCTGATTTGTCTTCTACATCCTATGCCGCCGCTCTTATCCATACTTCAGTTTTCGCAGACTAATGGTTCGAAACCACCAGTTTAAATAAGTATGGAACTACTTTCAAAAGAACTCCATAAGGAAGGAGTATTGCACAGAATGTAAACACGTCTTTCAAATGCTTTTTCTTTTCCTTATATATAGAGAAAACAATAACCCCTAAACTCCATTTGATAATATACTTAACGGAAACACAATCGAAATGAATATAGTTGAATTTATTCCTCTTTCATAATATCAAAATCATAGTCTTCTTGCTTGTCGGTGAGTGATGTTGATGTCATTGTATTGATCATTTCTTCAGTACGTCTATCTGAAAAAAAGATTTTCAATTCCTACACTATGATTTGTTGAAAAGTATTAAAAAGTTGTGAATAAGAAGCAAACCATTCCTCACTACCTTTCTCCTGAACTCCACCTTCACTGTTACTTTCAAGAACTAACGGAGTTTCTTGTTTTTCTTCTTGTGTTTTTTCACTGCTAACTTGATCGCACGATTTATCTGCGAATTCCCATCGATGTTGAAGGAATCCATGAACCTGTTTTTACTCATCACAATGTCGTCTCGTACGTTTTTCTAAAACAAAATAATAACATATTTAATGAATTAAAATTTAAAAAATACGTAATGGTGACAAGAGACAAATTCACAGATAAGAAAATAAGGAGGTGACAGCTGCATTCTGCTATGTCCATATAATAGCAAAATTTTAGCATAAACTTCAATATGCTCTACACAAGTATTAGATTTTCTAATCAAGAATTGATAAAAAAAAAGAAGCTATGCCACTACTGAAAACAATAATGAAACAAGAAAGGAGTAAAACTACCTTCTCTTTACGGTAGATAATAGTCTCCCCTGAAGCATTTTCAACTTCCATTCGCATTTCGTCATTATTTTCTTCCTCTCTTTCTGTTGTTGCTGCAAATCCATATTTCACTGCTACTTTATTTGCGCTTTCGGTCGGTAGCCCTCAATTTGAGAAATATTGTGTAAAACATGTTTCCGCAACGTGCTTCAAATTAATTTGTATTATGGGTAATTCACATTTAAAACGAATGATATAATGCTGGGAAAAATGCAGTTGGAAACCTACTTTCCACCAAAGCTTTCTGTTCATCCTCCAATGCATCCAAATCAAATTCTTTTGACATTTCATTTAACAGCTCTGCGGGAAACAAATTGGAGTTGGGGTTTACCACGGTCTCTGGCGGTTCTGTGAAGTACCGTAACTTCCCGCAATTCCAGTCGATTAGTACCTAAAAAACAAAAACATGATTTTTTCAAATCTTAATCAGATAAATAACGCCACAGTTCTACTCGAAAAATTAAGAACTCAAAATTTGAGATCAGATCTTGATTCAAGCGTTAAAACGAGCCTTTCGAGCTGCAGCATTCAAATCGGGACGGCCACCTTTCTTTAGTCGACCCCCTTTTCGAGCAATGTGGGCCAGGAATTCATCGCACGTTTTGAATTCTGGTATTTCATAGTGAAGAATCAACTGCAAATAAGATATGGAACAGCCAGACTTATCAGAATAGACTAAGTTCTAAAGCACGAAATCTTTTCTTTACCACCTCTACATTCTGAGAGAACAAAGAGTTCTCGCCTATACAAAATACATCGCGAGACTAACACTATCTCGAGAACATCGCCTCAAAATAGCTTGTACTGGAGCAGTAGGATCAGCTAGACTTTCCACTCGTATTGCGTTTTTAAGAGCAATTTCACTGTTGTCCAAACGCCCTTTTGGCTCTAATATTACACCAGGAGAATCTAATAATCGGATGTGCTTGTCCAGATCTACTTCTTGCACTTGTCTGGAAATATACTTTGAAAAAGTGGCAGTCAAATATGTATATATATATATATATATATATGGTTTATGGTAGTAATTACAAGTGCATAACAAAAATGTACAACAAAACATTATTTTACTTGAACATTCAATGTAAAATGGATTGAAATACTAAATTTTGCTTCCCCCTACACAAAGTAGCAAAAAAGTCTTTTAAATACCTCGTGATTCCTGGTACAGCACCAACGTCACAAACCCGCTTCCTTTTCAAGCTATTGATAACACTGCTTTTACCAACATTAGGATAACCTAAACGAACCATAATAATTCTGGTTTAGATAACAGGAATGTTTAAGCACTTTTACGCATTTGAGACTTTCAATTTCGTTCGCTGTTACCAATCATATCAGAGAAAAGCTGTTCACAAATCTCTAATGAAACGACACCTCTCAGAATTTTGACATAGATATACTAAAGTATCCAATTTTTTTTAAAAGTATCTAATTTTGATATATTAAAGTATCCATTTTTTCCATAGCTGTTTCTCCGCTTCGTGGCCATTCGCCACTAAACATGCAAGAAAAGGTGTCAAAAAACTTCTTCAATTTTCTCTAATGGAGATAAAAGTTCGCCGTGTTTTCCTACTCTATTCAAACATTGCGGCATTAATTTTTCATCGAAAGAAGTGCACAGTGAACACAATTAGCATTAATTTTTTGCAAAATGTTCCCAATACCAGCTATTAAAGTTAGGACGTGAAAAAAAAACCTTCATAAATTAAACCATATCATTCACTATCGAAAAGCCAACACACTAGAAATACTCACCTACTATTCCAACCCGAATCGATGTCTTGATATCCTTGTTTCTGCAGTAATTTAACAAAAGTTTCATCACAAGATCTGCTCCAACACATTTTGAAGTCGAGAAATGTAAATTTGACGAACTGAAACGCCCCTAAAGAAAACGTTTTTCTTAGCAAAAATGATTTTGATTCAGAAAATCAGCTCCTGACTGCTACCAATTAGACACATTAAACATTAATTTGGAAGTCAGACTAGCTTCATTTCTTCCTAAACCAAATTAGACGACTTTTTGGACAGAAAGTTACCAAATTACGACTCTGTTCCTGAGTTGAAGCTTTGAAAGCTATAGTTGGAGACTGTTGCCGCAAATACGTAAGCCATTTCTTCACATTTTCTTTCGGTACAAGGTCAATCTTATTTAAGAGTAAAACGAGTCGCTTTCCTGCGTTTAAGATATTTTCCTCGACACTTCTACTCCTACTTCCCAATGGATCTCGGGCATCAAGCACCTGAAAACCTAATGCTGCATCGCGTTTTTTACATTTTCTCAATCTGTTAGGGACTTCCAGGTATACATTGTGCACTGTTTCACAGGACACTGTCAGTAAACTATAACAAACCTCAATAACAATATCTGCAGATTCAACAGTTTCCCGAAGTTCATTAGCATACTGTTTCTGTGTTTTCTCGCGCACTTCTTCCAAGTTTTTCATACTTTGGTTTTCGGAATGTTCTGACATTTTTCCCTTTAAAATGCATTTAAAATGCAAATTTCAATGTAGAAAAACTAAACCATAAGTTCAGGACACTAAACAAAAACTTGAAACCAATAATAGGATTTTCACTTGAAATTTTTCGGTACCTATTTCATTTTAATCATAACCTACTCTCAAGATAATGCATAAACAGGATTCGTAATGGATAGAATATGATTAAAAAGTAGTAGAAAGTGACCTGTTCTGTAGCCTTCAAAGTCAGTGTTTGCAAATTACTCGAAACACATTTGCGTTTCGTCCCAATCTTTGCAACATCTGGATGCTTCTGCTTTATAGCTTTTTTCTTCTCAGATTTTTCATACTCAATGCGCTCTCGTTCCTTCTCTGCTTGCAGAAGTATTTCTTTTTTGAATGGGCACTTGTTTGGTACATTTACTGGCTTGTTTTTAGCTCTCCACAACTTCGCCTCTAAACATGTCCACAATATTCACTGACAAAAATCCTTTGACTTTCAGAAATTGGAAAAAACTACCTAAAAGAATTTAGACAGAACAATGACTCATAGAACTTCATCAAAAACGTACCGCTTTGGGAAGGATGAAGGCGAATAATTTATCAAAGAATTCAATGAGCTATAAAAAAGCAAGGTGATATACATCCTTACATCGCCCTTTCATAGAAGAGCAAAACAGATTTGATCTTCCGAATCTTAAAAAAAGAACAACTGTAGAAATAAGAAAAAGTGGAAATATTACTGTCTTTCTTTGCTTCTTTTTTAAGTTTCCTGTTATGTTCCCTGACTTTCTTCGCTATTTTATAACGCTTCGCACATGTTTGCCGTTTACTTGGTTTTTCTGCAAAGAGGGAAAAGGAGAAGAAACATAAACGAGTACTAAACATACAAGGATGAATTAATTCAAAGAAGTTGAAACACTTACTTAAGCAGTACTTGGCCATAAGACGTAGACTTACTTAGCCCGAAATATGTCTCCAGAAAAAACAGAAAGCCTGAAAAAAACAACAAGTGTATGTACGCTGTGAACAGTATTAAGTCATGAATGATCAGCGACATCAGTACCCGCATCCTCAACTTAAGCAATTCTTGTTCCCTACTCGGTATCTATTCACAAGTAACTACTTCACAATCCTAATCTATCACAGCCCTTTGTGCAACAACCTTGTCCACTAGACGAAATATGATTTATCACTCTACCAATAAAAAATGAGGACTAATTATCTCCAATTAGTTTCGTTTTACTTTGTCGAGGAGAGTTCTCCGCAAGCAGACGTTCTCGAAATATCAACTGCAAGCAGCCATTGGAGGCTCGAAATTCCCAATTCCTACTGATGTGCTTATATTTGGATGCGTAGATATGTTAACAAAGTTCCGTGGTTTTGTAATAATTTTGCTTACAAGAATTTATCGAAAGCAAATTTTTTGTCTAAAATATGCAATCTTCTTTCCATCTTCATGCAATAGACGGTACTTTTTTCATTCATTTCTTTTTTTCCAAACGGGGCATCGTATTTTTTGTGGTTCCAAATGTATCGTTTTTTCAGTCCAATGCAAGCATAAAATATGCGGCAATTTTTTTCAACACATTGAAATATGGCTTCATTACGAATGTTATGGCTGAGTACTTGATTTGCTCTCAAAAGTGGTCTTAAATTAAAAAAGAAAAGACCATGCAAGATAAGTGCAACAAAAAAACCATTTACGAATATGAGCCAAATCATTCACCATTGGATGTGATGCATGATATTTATTGGCTTATATTTGTAAATATTAACAAATATTTTATAAATAATAAGATTATTTGAAACAGTATGTTAAAAGCCAATAAATAATAATATACTTGAAAATTGTTCGGGGAAATTTTTTTGCTTAAAAGACTTCACATGCTTCAAAATAGCCTTAATTTACTGAAGAGGAGAGAACCATTTTATAAATTTGACTGCCTAAGTGTAAATTTGAGAATGTGATTACGGCTCCCTAATGAGTTAATTAGTTTGAATTATATCCAAATTGTTTCGAGATATATAGCCCAATAATGCACCTATTTGAAGGATTCGTGTTTTATGCTGAGGCATAATAAAACGTCTTCAGTCGTCCAACAATTCAACACTGGAATATTTATCACTGCAATCACTTGATTAAAATGTTTGTTAGCTATTCCGAAATGAATTGAAAAGAAACGAAATTGATTTAGGATTCTGGTAAATTTAGCCAAATATTTAATTCTTACCTTTCCGCTCGGAATAAATGGAATTTAATGAATGTGTGGTAAATTAGCTTCATCTGTTCAGCAGAAGTCCGAAATTTCCGGAATGTTAACCCAAGAGACTAGTCTGAATAGAGTAAACTTGAATTCTTAAATAAATCTACATGAGGTAAAAAGAAAGTAATTAATAGGAATTATTTTCGGTTCCATGCAAAACATAAATTATTTATGCAAAAATGTAATTCTTTGTCGGGATTTTGAAATATTTACTTAATATTTCAGAATGCTTCTTACCAGGCCTGTCCAGTCACTATTGTAATATGCTAGAATACAGGTTTTTTGTGATTAATTGGGTAGTTTTCTGTGCATAGAATTGCGTAATAAAAAAACTACCCTAGTACTTACTCAGGAACAAAGGAATAAAATAATTGGCTGAGTTTAAGTAATTAAAATGACTAATCAATAAATAAACTGGTTCATGCCGTGTAAATGTTTATATTGTAGGATAACGGAAGGGAGACAATAGAACTGCTAGTATAATGCCTTGTATCCTATTATTTCCTACATTATAAACTCAGGGATGCCAATATATGAATTGATTCAGTTGTGTTATTTGAAAAAAAAAGAAATTCGGAGAAGTGAAAGAAAGAAAGAGTTCATAGATCAAATTTTGTTTCATCAGCCTTCGATGGTACCATTCGTTTGTCCATTTGCTGAAGCTGTTGCTAGCAATGATTAATTAATGGAATATTGTAAAACTTTGCCGAACCTATCAGCATTTTTCATCTTACTGATCGCATTCATCAGATACATTCAATCTTTCATTTTCATCAATAGCATGAAAACTTTTTGCTGACCTTAAACTTTCACTCATCGATTAGCAGTGTAAGCGTTAATGAACAATGATTCTTTTTTCGATCTAGACAATATAAATAAATGTACTAAGGAAAAGTGTAACATGATATTTCAGCTGAGCTATTCACCGTTTTGCGATGTAAGTGTTGAGGAAGGTATGGTCGTCGTGAAAGTTTTAATTTTCGCCAAGACATACTTTTTTAAGAATGCAACTTTTTCTTATAATTTCTTTTTTTCGAATAAAATAGTAATAACATTATTTCGGTTCGTAACTTATCGAGTTGAAATGCATCTTGCATATATTTTGATCAACGATGCAAGTTAAAAGTTGTTGTTGAAAAAGTTTTATTTCGATTAAAGTTCAGTTTTTGAGTATCACCGCAAACATGAGGAAGTCCACATCGCTAGAAATGAAAAACAAAAAGCACGAGGGAATGTGTGACTGTATCATGTGCAATATTTGTTTCATTTACCTATTTCAGTCGAACAATGAATGAAATACTGAATTTAGTAGTATAAATTATAAGTTCGCTTCAGAAAGTCTCGAAATTTGAACGATCTTTGGATATTCTAAGAAAAATGAGTGATACGGGAGACAGTTCTAGCGAGTGAGAAAGTTGGCTGTGAAGGAAAAAATCATTCGTCACTTTTAGAAGATATATTCTGTTTGAACAGGCCTTCTTCCTACTCATTCAATTTGTGTCTAATTTATTTCCGATCCTTTTATTTTCTTCCGACAAATTCTTTTCAATTTTTGGTTCTCTTCCTTTGATATCCTGATATTGATTCAGATAAGTTTCTAGGCTCTAACAGAATGTTTCTTGTTCTTTCTCTTAATTATACTTTACAGTTACAAAACCATAGAAATATCTTTTGCTAATTACTCTAATAAAGAATAAAGCGATAGATTTTTTTAAAATTAATTTTCAGGATAATGACGACAGCGTTTCCGACCATTATTTTCTCACTATTATTGATTGCACTTTCTGTACACGCAAGTTTCCAGAAAATTAACTTTAGAAATTGTAGTAAGCCATCAAGCTATTATTGATTTTTGAAGTTTCTGTGTTATTTGATTGAATACATTTGACAAAATCATTTTTGAGTTATTTGATGGAGTAAGCAATTTAAAGATCTCCGAACAAATGCTTCAATTTAAACTATCAATCATCTGATAGCAGAAAACAAAACCATCTGAGGAATTTGAAATCCATAAGTAGCAGTATAAGAATTGCATCAAATTACTCGGCGCAACCTTTATCCCTTTAATTTGGTTCTCAGTTTATTTTTTTAAGCACTACATTTTTTGTATGGAAATTGGTTTATTCCCTATAATTGTTGTTTGTCCTTTTAGAATCAGTGTTTAACATCACCAATGTTGAAGTGGATGGATGTGTGGACTCAACGCAACAGCGCTGTGCCTTCAGAAAAGGTACAACACCGCATTTACGAATTGAATTCGTACCCAGTAAGAGTTTTTTTTTTATAAACCATATCAATTTTTAACTTATAAAATAAGTTTGAAAAATCGAATCCAATGATTTCTTGTAATAAACTAGAGATCGGAAAATATTTGCTGCAAAACGAACTGAACTATCCGGATCGGATGTAATTGAGTATCATTATTACTTCCTGCGTACAGCAAAAAATGCATCAAAACTTATCCGTAGTCGTTTAATTCGGAATTCAGTCAGAATTTTTCAAATATGAAAGATTAATCAAATTCCAGGATGTTTTAAAAAGTAGATCCAAAATTTTAGAGTTAATTACTATTAGATACTCATTCCTACACACATATGGCACAGATGTTTGGTATAAAATGAAATCGAAAGTTAAATATTTCATTACTCATTAGTTAATTACCATCGAAAAATAAGAAGTTTGCTTCTAATGATGCATCCACAAATTATAATTAATCATTTAATTTTATATTTAAGATATTTTATTTCAGCAAGAACAACGGAGGCTCTGGAAACTTCAGTAAGAGCGAAAATTGCCGGCGGCGTCATCGTATCATTCAATTTGGAACAAAAAGATCCCTGCAAAGGTGGTAATCTAACCTGTCCGCTTAAAGAAGGCCAGAAGTACCATTATGAGCAAGGTGTCACCATATTGAAAGAATATCCTGAGGTATGTTATATTGTTATTTCCTTTTGAAAATTGGGGTGATTTCATACGCTATACGGAAAGGTAGAAAGGATAGTAAGCAGTATTGTTACCTGGAGTTGGTTAGCAAAAGATATCTAATTTATGTGCGAACATTCAGTTATTTATAAATAGTAATATTAGATTAGTGCACAGTAATTGTGCTGTCAATTTAAATAGGGAACTATTACAATCAACACATTTTTGCTAGCGAAAAATAAATTTGCTTATTACCGTAACATAGAATTCCATGCTTCGGTATTTGGTGAACCTCCTACTGGTTAAGTAACTGCAAAAAGTAGTTGAGATAATCGTAAGAATGGTAGGTAATTGATGAGAGGGCAGGCAAATATGGAGGATCAGGTACTAACTTCAATTTGTTCACTTGAATCATTGGTCTAACATTGTGCTAGAGGAACTGAACTTTTTTACTTATTAATGCTAGCCATAGTGATTTTCGTGCATTGTAAAGATGATAACTTTAATGATGGCTCTCTTAACTGGTTACTACCAACTTCGCACCATCGGTCACCACACCTCGCTTCTTTAAAATTTTCAACATACTAAACCTATACTTCATTCTACATTCCTCAATAATTCCGGATCAAATACGTTGCTGATATTGCAAAATGCTACCGCCGCTTTATAAACCACTCTTAACTGAAAAAAAACAGAATCAAATTTGCTGCCGGTCTAATTTGGCTAAAATAAAATTGAAAAAAATTACAAGTAAGCGAGTCATATCAAGGATGAAATAGCAAAATATGAAATAGCAAAATTCAATAATGTAAAAACAAATTAGCTTTTGCATCACTTAGTGCGCTATAAGAGCTCAATACTTCCTGCACTGACCATCCGTTTTATTCAAATTATCCAATTTCAGGTGGACGATGTACAAATTAATTGGCTTATCAATGATAAAAGCAACGACGGAGCTCCAAATGATGTTAACAAACGTGAAATATGTATCATATTTTTAACGAAAATTGTTGAATAAATATAATATGGTCATCAGCAGATATCACCCTATCCATTGCAAAACAATTCGCTAGCAGTTTCTTCTTTTAGACAAACTCTTTTATAGCCGGGCCACACTCAGTTAACGCTAGCTTCGAGAATACGTGACCTTATCCGTTTATTATTCCGGACCTAATGCACCTTCTTCATTGCACAATTGGGAATCGAATAAAAGATTGCGATTTCGATAAGCAATGCCACAATCTGAGACATGAATAAATCTGTACTTGATACCTGAGCCTGGACATTCGTCGTAATTTCTATCTCATAGTATCTTTTCTACATTCATACCTGTATTTATTCACTTCTTTTCTACACCCATACCTCATACCTGCATCGCATAATACTAGCGAGAACAACCACGTGATACCGAGAATTTCGTAGCGAGACACGCCATACTCGTATGATCTCCAATCGCCACCGCAGACGTTTGTCTACTTTGAAGGTTTTTTTCGTGGGCGGCAGGGAGTTCCCAAGGGGATATTATTATTGGGATTAGTAGATATTACCTAATTTTTTCCAGATATTATTGGGACTTAACGATATTCCATTCTTTCAATTTTTAAAATTGTTCAAAGCATCACCAATGCCGACATTGATTCAGAAACGAAAAAGTCATAAATTTTAATAAGTGAACTGCCCTGGCCTAACTTCACTTTACTTAAATAATTGATTCACTTGATACAATCGCGATGTGCAATTCTGTGTGATGCAACTCGAATATACTTTTCGTTTGCAGTTCGCATATATTCCAAAGTTTAGATGAAAAACGAAGTGTCTTTCTCCTTTTAAAATGAATTCCGAAGTTAAAATATGTCATTTTCTAGAAAGAAACAAGCGAGGATTGGTTCGTGAGATGTTGGAAAATCTGGTCGCTTGGGTTCTTAACAATTATGTAGGAGAATATTTAGAGAACTTAAATACCGACCAGTTAAGTATAGCTTTGCTGCAAGGTAAATCCATGCTTTGCTATCATTATTTCATCACTTGCTGTCATTTTCTTCAGTATTTTCAGCGTTTTAGATTAATTACTGAGTTCCCGTTTTTTAAGAAATAAGTCGGAACTTCAAATATATAATTTCAAAAAATATCCGACTTTCAGGGCAAGTTGAACTAGAAAACGTCCCTCTAAAGAAGTCTGCTTTGCGTAAGTTCGATGTTCCACTAAAGGTAACTAAAATTTGACAAACTCGTGTTGAATTTTACAACAGTGTGTCTTACCATTAAGTTAATTCAGAAGAAAAGAATTTACCCTTTTAAAATTGATTTTTTAAAATGTCTGTCAGTTTTCTCCAAATATTCGACCAGTTTCACTTAAAACCCGTAAAACTGTAAAACTCCACCTAAAATTGCTATTTTAGTGCTGATGCGAATTTCTTTCATCCAGCAGCACTCGAGGTAAAATTTGCATTTGAGGTAAAATCTGGCTTGCTTGGGAAACTTACCCTATCGGTACCATTAACGAGACTACGAAGTGAGCCATGGGTTATCAAAATGAGCGATTTACTGGTACTTCTGGAGCCATCTATATCAGTTCGCTATGATGTTGAGAATATAGAAATCTATGAACAAGCTAAAAAGGAGCAGCAATTAGAGGATCTGGAAAAATACCATAAGGTCTGGATTCATTTTTCTCATCACTTTTGCTTCGATGCTTCGTTAATCAAAAAGTTTGGTTTTTAAACTACGAGTGTTTGAAAAAAAGTTTTTAAACTGCCAATGTTTGAAAAAAAAAGATATGTAGAATTGTAAGTAAATTTAATATAATGAGTCTAATTTTTATCGGGAAATTTTATTTCGATCCAAGTTCAACCTCCGAAGTATCATTGCAAACAGGAGAAAATTATCAAATAGTAGAAATGGAAAACAAAAACGAGAGGGAATATGTACTGAAATATTTGTTTAAGTAGGGACCTTTCAAAATCGTTTGCAGATTTCAGTCGGACAATGTAATACTGAATTGAGTTCATAATAAGCTTGTCATAAGTATTTGAACTCAAAAATTGTGAAGTCAATCTTTGAGTATCGTAGGACAGGAGTAAAACGCTCGGAAACATTTAATAACTGTTAAGGGAGCTGGGTGTGAATGAGAAATGTTAAAGAGGTGAGTTATTTCAAGACATAAAGTTGCGACGAAAAATTCTGAAAGATTTACTCATAGAAGAAGAGGGAGGAGGAAGTATCTAGATATTATGAGAGTCACAAGTTTCTAATTAGTTTTATATGCAAGTGTGCGAAGACAAAGACGATAACAAAGCAAAAGAGCGACTTAGTTGGTGCTGGAAGCAAATTCGAAGAATGGTTTTGTTGAATAGAATGTGTAAAAAAAGAAACTGATAATTATTGGGATTTGCACAATTAAAAAGTGTAATTTCAACAGCACAACAGATTTTAAAACATTATAAATAAATAATAGCACAGTCAATAAGCCAGAGAATTTTTGCCGGTAGCAGTATCGGCATGAATAATCATATTGTCGCTGAAACGTTGTTATCAACTCTTTTTACTCACATTGATAGGGTTAATTTGATCTGGCAAAGTTTTTATGAGCCAGAACCTCAAAACAAGAGTGGAATGTAATCAATCGAAGAGTTTTTTTCTTTTTTTTTTCTTTTTTAAATGGAATTATTTGCAGAGACAGTTGCTAAGTTATTGGGGTTTACCTAATCGTGACAGTGCATCGGAACAGAATTGGTGGGGGGCGTCATTGGTATCAGCTATCGTTAATAATATTCAGGTACTTTAGAGATGTTCTCATGTACTTTCGTTTAATCATATTTAGCCATGCAACTCTTTCTCAATTTCAGAGCTTTGACGTTCTGAAATTTAGAAGCGATATTTGTCGTGTTGTCGCAAGTACGTAATTACAATTTATAACGACAAATTTGCTTGTGATTTCGTTGCCTGAGATTCATGGTACTGCATTGGGTTCTAAACAAGAAATTTACTCTGATCATTATGATATGAAGATAATTCTTCTTAATTTGTAGTTAGTTCTAACTAATGTTCATATACGATATGAAGATGATATGACGTTACCGAACAATGCACCATTTGCGTGTGGTGTGCGTATGCGCAATGTCAGCATGCAAACTACAGATTCACATTGGGTGTGTTTTAACATAACGTAATTGGTTCCTTTTCTTCTATTATAGATGCATGTTTAAGGTTCTACAATTTTTTTTGCTAAAGACTTGTAGTTTGTATTGTAAAGACGCTTGTTAAATATTTCAAAAGATGATTTTGAAGTCTTTAAAGTATCAGTGCATCCAATGCTTTCAAAAATATTGAATTTGTCATACTTAAATTCAGAGAAATCAATAAACAGTTGACATCGACTTCAGAATGGTCGCCACAAATTTCCTAAATTTAAGAAATTAAATACACCGTCATTCATCTTTACTCTTATTACGCTATTACGTTACTGTTATCGTTTCTTTTCCGTCATTTGCAATCACTGATATTTTTTGATGGTCCTTAAATTCAAACAAGATATATGTTTTGGACTATGAATAAAGTATGTAAATCAAAATCAATGTTTTTAGGGGACTGGATACATGCAGCCTCAAGATGGTGTAAATATGTTTAAAAAACTAGAGATAGAAGGTCTGTCTGTATACTGGAATTGTGGACAGCAAATTACTGAAAAAATTAAAAACCATATGGATCTGCAGGTTTAATTTCTCCTCCTTTTTTTCTTTCGTTTTAAAGAGCTAAGAGATTCTGAATTGGTCCGTATCCCATTCGACAAAATATGTGATAACTGATCGAAATCAAACTTTCGAGGGTTTTATTGTTTTTATCAGCATTGTTAATTCAAGTATATGATGGCATCAGAAATCAGTGAGGATAATGTATGCATCCTTCAACCGTTCAGTGCACACTTATATATGGAAAGAAATACGAACAAATTTCCTTTAAAAACATATCCTTACATTCCTAGATTCAAAGTAAGTTTGTAAACCTTTTGCCTGAATCATTTGTGTAATGTAGTTTTATCAGTAGTTTGAACTATTGATGAAGCTAGCTTTGTTAGATTTTATTTTACTTTGTTATTTTTTTCTTTTGTACTTGCAGAGTTAAGTAATCAGCAGGATCTTTTTTGTAGGATATTAAAGAGATGCTGAGCTTTGTATTTTCACTGCTTTCTCTCTACACTTCTTTTGCAGTTTAATTTGTGTCCTGAGGAGATTGTAATCGAACTGACGAAACGACAACTCTTGGAAATGAGTTCATTAGGAAAAGAATGGGCTCGATTTGACAGATCACGACAACATCGAAAATGGCGGCCATTAACTACTGTTGGTGAAAAGTAAGTGTATGTTACGTTTCTAAACATCATATTTTTCTTAAGCGTGGCTGTGATGTACATCTATGGAAGCCGAAGCCTCCACAGAAATAGTTTTGTAGTGCAAAAGAATGGTGGAATTTTGCATACAATCGTATACAGGATCAAGAAAGGCAACGAAAAACAAGACGCACTTGGAGTTTTGCATATAATCGTGCGAAGCAACTGAACTCATACTGTCGAGCTTATCGGCGGAGGTTATTATCATATTTGGAGACAGCTGCAATCTCCGTATGTCTTATTTTATACATTTTTCTCACATCATGGTACTCAAAATTTGTGCCGAACTAATTTTTCATGGCCACTGTTGTACTCATATTTGATTTTTAAATCACAGAATTGGTTTCAAGTCTGTAGTAGGATTTTATCTTTATAAGATTACTACCTGAAAATACTTTTTCCCAGGCCACCGGTCAATCAGATATTAATGAGAGATATGAAACATCACCTTATGGGAATGTTTCTGGCCAAAATTATGATATGGAATCTACAGAAGAAGTGGGGACAGCTATAAGTTCATCAAATTTATCGACCACTGGTTCTTTACAAAAAACTGCAAACTCCGAGGATTTAATTTTGATGAAACAGATCGAAAGAGATTCCAACTACACCTATCATGTAAGTTACGAGTTTCCTGGTGCGGTTTAAATTTTAGTTTTGTAATATATGTCTACATATATCTCTCCAGATTAATTTTCAAGGTTATGTAGTATGCTGATTTTAATGTGTCCTTTTCAGTATAGGATAATATTACATTCTTTTCAGTAGTATGCTAGTGTCACTGAAATTAGTGGACATTACTGGTGATCCTTGTTGTAGTGCAAACAGTGAAAAAATTTTTAAGTAAGTTGAATAAAGTTCAGTTTGAGTAACTTGGAGAAAAAGCGATGGAACTGTTTAGGAACTGCAATTATTTCGAGAAACAGTTTATCGGCGCATACTTGCTGAAAAGGAAGCACGGTGTTTATGTAGCGAAAATAGATTGCAGTCGGATGATGAAAGCTTTGAAAACATCGATTTCCGTTAGTCTAGCTTTGGAATAGTAAAATGCTAATGCGATATTACTTTAGTCCTGTTTGTACTTATCTTGTTTGTAAAATGTCTAATAAATTTCTTTTAGGGGCATTATACAGATCAGAGTTTTATGTAAAGTATTGCCTGTTCCAGCTGTACTTCGTCACGACTCAGACACTGATAGAACAGTCAGTAGTAATCAGTCGCATTCCGAGGAAGCAGCAAAAAATTCTGGTGGTGGATTGTACAGTTGGTTGAGTAGTTGGGTATATGGTCCACGAAAAGGTTCGTAGTATTTTTCTGGCCGTAATTAATTATTCATTTACTGGCCGGTAGATCAAATTGAATCATTATTACATGTAGCATCCAGCTGACACCAGTTTTGTTTAAAAACTGTTCAGCTTGCCGAATTTTACTAGCTTGCTATTAATTATGGACTAAGCCAAATGGAAATCATCAAACTCCTCTGAAATTGGAAAAGTTGGAATTTAATTAAAATATTGGGGAATCAGAAATCTAAACCAAAAATTTCACAGAAGAAGCAAAATCAGAAAAAAACGATCGCCATGAGTCTGTGTTCAATGTATTTTCTACCAGTGAAAAAGAAGGATCTTTATCCACCGATTTCAAACTGCTCGAAAAACAGGCAAAAAACTTTCTCTACCAATTTTTCTTTTTTCTTTTTCTTTTTCTTTTTTAAATGTATTTCTTAGCATTTGAAAAATTTATTCTCGAAACACTGAAAATATTAAAGGTCGAGGATGAAATCTTGGATGTGCTGAACGAAAGCAGGGATGATTCAACTATATTACATCGTGATACTCTACTAGCGGAAATAAAATTAAAACTTGAAAGGATGACAATACGTTTTATAGATGACTTTGAGGTGATCTGTTATAAATTTTCCTAGTTTTCGAAACAGTTGGACTAACGTAGGCATTGGTGCCAGGTATTAAGTTTATTCCAATGTCATACGATAAAAAAGTCAATCAATCAATATTGAAGTATTTTACTTTTAACCATTTTAACGGACAGTTCCTTTCTGATTACTCAACATTTGTTGCAAGTATTATAAGAAAAAAAACTGAGAAAAGCTGTGAAATAAAATAAAACAAACTTGCTTTATAAGTACTTCACATCTTTGAAACTAAATTACTCACATAATTCAAGCAAAATGTCAGTTTTTTTCTTGGGACACTTTACTTTTGCCAATGATGAATACAAACGTTACTACGAAAGGATCAGAGCGAAATTTTATAAAACTCACCGAATTAGTAAAATATCAGTAAAAAATTCATTTAAATTAAAGAATTTTAGGTTAAGGAACATGAGAATCAATCACAAATGTTTAGAATCGAAAAGATGGAAGTACGCGAGTGCTGGCGATGGATCTGTGGCAGTTAGCAAGCTGTGTCCATCTTAGTCCACGTCGTCACAGTACAGCTATGTCACTTACTGTTGCGGATTTGAGTCTACAAAGGTTGTGCACTTTCCCTGCGGAAGATATGTCGGTCGAAAATACGCAAAATGGTCAATTTTTCCTACTTGCATAATTATCTAATTTACACTGAGGAAAAAGGCTGAAGTTAATACCATCAATGCAAAGTCATCTTCATCAGTTTGTTGTTCTAGAGGAAACCAATAAACAAGAAAGTGAATCACTGATATTCGGATTTGCCAAAGAAACGACTCAAATTTTATTTGCCATTGGGAAGGCCGGAAAGACAAGGAGTCCAAATACTTCAGATAATGCCAAAAACAGTAATTTGAACAATGCACTGTTTCGGTAAATTTTCTTTCTATACTTAATATTTAAATTTTTATGCAGGTGTGAAGTGTCTCTTAGCGTTTTTTAGTTGCTCTTGCTGATGAATTAGTTGCTTTTCAAACATGGACTAAGACTAATACTTTTTTTATTGGATAAAGTGAACAATGAAAACTTTCGAGAGCTTATCAGCTTTATTTATATTGAAAATATTTTTTTAAATCAATTTTTTTGAAGATTAGCATATCATCGTCGTGCTCCAAAGATGGTGGTGACACATACACTTGATATAAAATGCAGTGAATTATCAGTACTGTATAATGAAGATGCTTTTGATGATTTGGCTACCTTTTTCAGCGACAAAAGCACAGTGAAACAGGTATACAAACGGCCTTTGTGTATACAGACTTGTATTTTATTAATCAGTTTCTTTACCTCAATTTAATGGTTAATGTATATCTGCTTCTTTTTTTTTCTTTCTGAAAATTTATCGGTGGTAAAAAGATTAAGATATATTAATTAAGATATTAGATTATAATAAGTTTTTTGGATTCCCTCTGATTGAAAAAAGGATTTTCAGCTAGTTATAAAAAGTTTGCAGTTTAGTAGAAACACGTCTTTGGATATAAAATGACACTTCAGAACGTAATTTCTTTTCAAAAACAAGTGTTTGTGCTTATTATAGGATAAAAATTTGGACCCGGTACTGATGGACATTATCACTGTTATTGACTTCGCCATCCACTGTCCTCAGGTACTTATTTATAATTTATGTTATATGGTGATGCAATCAATCTATTATGTAGATAAAATATCCAGACAAGTCATATATTTTCTGAATAATGTTCATTTAATTTAAGACCTGCAGGTAAGGTTGTACTGTAAATGCGTCGATGGAAAAAGATGTCTCTAAATTATAGCTAAAAGTGGAGTTGCGTAGCAAACGAGGGAATTTACTGGATCGAAAAAAGAAATCAGCGACGTCGACACCATTTGCTTTGGCAGATGTGAGGTATCTAGTTGTTGGAATATCGAACAGAGAACAATTCGTTACAACGGTATGGATTTGAAAAATTCCATTTAAAGCATCTCATCTGCTGATAAACATTTGACTTCCAGAAAGTGATGTGTGTAAACTTTATTCTTTAATAACAAAACTAAAAAAGAAAAAAAAACAAACCAGGTATTTCTAAGAGCTGCTGTAATATTTAAGGTTGAAATTGAGTTTGATTCGTTGGAAGTTGAAGATTTGTTCGAACCATCAGTCGATTTATTATTGTGCATACGAAATCAGACTTCCTCTTTTAAGGTCTTAGATTTTTATGTTTCATACAGTTAATTTTACATACTTGTTATAGTCATGCAGTGCAGTTTTCATTTCTTCAGTACTTATTCAGTAACAACGAGAATAATGTTTAGAAACAAATGTCTGCCTCATGTCCAAGTTTGAATGTTAACGACTTACGACTCAGATCTTCCTCATCTCAGCGACGTACACGCGCTCTCAGTAAATTTTTTATTCATCAGAAACCGAACTACAAATTGATTTTCCATTTAAGATCATTTGAATGAATTTCTAATAATTTTTATCTCACTTGATCTGTTCAAGATATGATCTAAGCATTTATTTGCAGATTTGTTCCAGAGTGGTATTTTTTATCAAGACTATAAGTATTTGAATATATTTTAATATGTGCAACTGAATTTGGAATTCAGGCATAAGTTCGCGTCCTAGCACAATGGATACCAGTAGAAATGAAAAATTAAGAAGCCCACAAGAGAGTGCTACTCTCAGTAGTACTGGATTGAGGGATGTTAACGTTATTGGTGCATCTCATTTCACGCTTCTTTTAATTGATAAGGAACACCCATCTTTCGAATCCAAGTATAAAAAAGTAGGTACTTTATCCATTTGTTCCTTCACTCGTTCATGATTAATGTAGATTTATAATAGGTTCTTACATAATTTTATTTGGTTCTACAATGCAACATTTTTATCCTAATTGCAAATGCATAATGGTTTTTTTTTGAAGGACTAACTGATAAAATGAATTTGAAATAAAACGTAAATATTGTTCTATGGAATTTAAATACTTATTGTAATCCATTTGGTTTCATAGGTAAGCTGCATAATCAACATGGATGTACCGAAATTAGAAATATGTATGAATCGACGAAGTTATACGCTTTTGCTCGATTTTTTTGGCTTGTTGGAACCAAAAATGGAACTTTCAGAGGACTATACCGAAATTTTAGCCCGTCCATCTGCAGCTAATACAAATATAGCTTTACAAGATTTAGGTTACCCTAAAAGTGTTTGGTTTAAATTACTAATTCTTTTCGAGGTTACGCATTCAAGGAAATCATACCGGGCATATATTCCTTATAAGCAGATGTTAAAGGCAGTACAAATTCAGGAGCCATAGGAAAGGAAATCGTTGAGATTTATATTATAGTTATAGAAGGGAAAAGTTGGGAAAACTCGTAATTTTTTAGTTCCCATTTTGGATATTAATAATCATAGGAATAATTCAATTATTTCAAGTCAATGTTGCTAAAAACAATTAATTGTCTAATGAATTCCACGAAAATGTTAAATGAGAATTTCCTTGTTCATAATCAGATTATTTCTTGCAGAGCCATATAATATGAAAGTGAATGTCAATGTCGGGTTAATACAAATAATAATGAATTACCCGGCAAGTAAATACCATTTGGGTATAATCGAAGGAGAGGAAGTATTTATTACTGCACAGGTGAAGCGTAGAAATAAGTGCAAAATTAAATATGCAAAAATTGTAATTTTCCGTTTTAATTGACTTTATTTCCCATAGTCGAGTCCAGATTCCTCTCTGTCCTCTATTTCTGGTTGGTGTTACATCGGCTTCATTAAGTTTTCATTTTTTTTCCTAAAATTGTTCTTACGTCACATTTCCTTCGTACATCAAATCGTTTAGTTCTCCTACGTAATCTGTAATGCTTATCTTTTGTGGATAATGTAAACGAATAAATTTCAAAAAATCTCCATAATCAATTAACATTTAAAAGAACTAGTATTCTTGTCGTAAAATGAATGACTTGTAGGCAAGGATCAACGACGATGAAGTACCACTGGGGATTTCATTATCGCTGAGAAATTGTACACTATCGGATAGTACTCCCTTTTATTCAGAATTGTACAGCGAACGTATTAGTCTTCGACCATTGTCAAGCAAGAACGAAGGGATGGAACAAATGTTTCTAGGTGACGAGAATCAAAAACATATGTTATCTTCTCGTGCAACTCTCCACATTACTAAGTAACCTTTACTTATAAAAGTTTCGTATCAAAAGCTATACCAAACCAAAATTTTTGTTCGGCAACTTTTTTCTGTTCGTTAAAATCTAAAATCTTTGGCGATACTCGGCATCAAAGACATAGCAGTTAATTTTAAATGGTGCCAATTTAAATTAAATATGGCTTATCAGTGGTGCAGAAGGCTCAGTAACTCCAGTATAGTGAAAAAATGGAAAGTATTACAAAACTCGATGCTACAGATGTCTGTGCGCAAAATCTGCTGCTCTCAGAGGATATGACGCGAATATTGTACTACGAATACCATCAACGATGAGTATCGCATATGTTCATACACATCGTTATTTTAATGCATTGTTGGATTTTTGGCAGCATTTTATAGAGCTACAGAATATTGTCCTACGAAATAACGTTTCATCTACAAATATTCGTGTAAGTGAATCTCTCTTATGTGTTTCTTCGACTGGTCGAATGTGGAATTTTATGTTATCTTATTCTTCGATATGATCTGGAAAATGTTTTAATGCTTAAGGTGAACAATGATGTGCGAAGCAGGATACAGCTAATTTGTGAAATTGAATGTCCGTGTATCATTGTCCTTCCCCTCAATCAGTTGTCTAATCAAGTACTTCTCTGTGAAACTGCTAACATTCGTATTAGTAATCGATTCCAGTTGTCATCTTTAATCCCTAAATTCCAGGATTTCGAAATTGCCAATATTTTTGGTTTGCTTTTTCTCATGCATTTTTTCAACATTTCAATTTCTTATAATTCATTTTTCGCAAAAGTCGCGTTTTTTTAAGTTAATACCTATTAACAAATGAGTTCTTATTTGGAATATGATCAGAGGAATTTTTTTCATTGGTTTAGATAACGGTGTTGATTGATACAATATCAAAACTTTGGATATAATGATAAGGCTTAACAAGGATAATATTTAGATGATGACGATCATGATTGTTGCATCGATTGGATGTCAGTTGTTTGCACTGAAACATCACTTTGTGAGGGGGTGAGGATACCAAACACCAGAGCTGTAGCCCACGATGTACCAGGTGATGTAAAAAATATCAAACACTTTGGATTCCGAAATATATAATATTAGAGTGGTAAAAGGGTTATACGAAAGTAAATAATTAGAAGGGTAATGGAGCAGCATACATTTCAAGACACTGAAATGAAAAATTAATGTTGACTACATGTTATATTAGTTTAACCTCTAATTTCACAGATTAATAGAAAAGGAAGAGTTTTTAGGTTATGAAAGAGTATGCTGCGATATGTTCCAACATTGTTATTTCTTGAGTTTTCGAAAAAACGTATTTTCAAAACCTTGTGATTTGTTAATAGACATTTTTCGAAACCTGGATATCTTTGTTTCACACAAAGGTGAACACTTTTCTTGATTTTCAATGTGTGCTAAGAATTTATTCAGCTCAAATAAAGTGAATGTTTTGAAGGAGAAATTGCAGTTGAAAAAGCCCATGTTCAACACCAGACTTATTAAATTGTCTTAAAAGATTCTGTTGTTTTCATTGAAAATGATTAACATTTTGAAAAATGCAACGAAGTTCTTTATGCACCATTCATTTTTCGAACTTTTGCTTGTTTCGATCTTCATTTTTCATTATCCACTGTTTAAATTATTTTCTTTCCTTTTAATACTAATCATAATAATTTCCATGCTTTTTAGTACCAGATGTAGTAATTACTACATCACTCGCCAATCTAAATGTGAAATTAACCGCTGATTTTTATCGGTTACTGCGCGGTTTCCTATCAATGAACCTCGGTGATCCTTTGGTTCCAGTATCAGAAACGATTCCCATCGAAGTTCTGCAAAGACCTGCAGAACTCCATGCAAGTTTTCAGTTGAAAATTTTGTGTCACTTTCCAGGTAGTACATAATACTTAAGCATATTTTGGCTTATGATGTTGGAAATTGAGGGTTTTCATCTTTGTTGACACTTGAAGACTGTAGGCCACTTTTAGCTGCATTCTATATATGAAAAGCATTTCCCACCAGTACTAAATTTGAATAAATTCATCGGATGTCTTGTACTAAATTTTAATTTTAGCACAGCAGTAGTATTTTTTCAGGAGGTTGTTGGAGTGAGCAGTAAATATGCATCGCTTTCATTTCGAATGACGCTTACGAATGTTGAGGTGAGTGTAATATTTCTTGAGTTGAGGATATTGATGAGGGATATTTTAAGAATGGATTTTAAATTTGTTTGTCATAATTAAGTTTATTTTGTTACAGTTCAACTGTTTTGTGCAGTGCGAAAATTCACAAAGATTTGTACCATTAGCTAGAGTGAAATTGATTTCCTCGCGCATATCATTTGATGTCTATATCGACAATCAATCAGAACTGGATTTAATTTGCGAAAGTGCTGAACTGATCGATACACGATTTTTTGGTAAATATGAGAAAAAATTAAATACGATTTTTGGTAAATATTAAAAAAAAATTGAAAAAAAATTTGACACTTACCAGAAGGAAGCATATAAACTTCTACTAACATTGGAAATAAATGAAATGTTTATTCTGATTAGTTCGAACTTATTATTAATCTTTCAAAACCAATTTTTTGAATGAGATTTTCTAGTGCTCCGGAGGACTTCAAACAAATAAAATTACGGAAGTTAAATTATCATTTCATTTTTTGATGATGAATACTGCTAGGATTTCTCAATGACTCAGAAAAATATTTGCTTAATTCTTGATTTACGGCTAATACGATGTTTTCTTTTACAGATGTGGAATTCAATAAGAGACCAAATGTTTTTTACTCAATTCTCTTTCCTTTAACCAAAAGGGATTCGAATAGGTGTGTTTCTTACCCGTGTTAAGTTTTATGAATATGCTGACCTTTAACTGGATAGAATACTTGTACTTTAGTCCGGATAATGAACAAATTACGTCGACTAAAATATCGATGCACTTTTAATATTTCAACTTCACTTGTGTTTGTTTTCTTTTACTATCCCAGATCCATTGTTTTGAGTATAAAGGAAATCAACGCTAAATAGTGTTTAATCTGCAAAACTGGGCTTTCTTCATCAAACGGGAAGCAGTCCACTGAATTATTACTTTTTTATTGTATCGCAAGTTTTTAGCGTTTTCATCTACCAGCTGATAATTTGATTTTCGCTTAAAAATTTTCCGATCTTATTTCCAGTTTCTTCCTGCAAGTGAAATAGGCCTAGCAATTTTCTATTTCTTTGTTTAGATTTACTTTACACATAGTCCTTAACTTTCAGAAGTAAACTGATGTCCGAAGCTCATATTGTTTTCAAATGCGATGAACCACCTGTAATTACATTGGTTCTGTTAAATGCACGAGTACTTTTGCTACTGGATTGGCTCAACGATGTGAAAAATTTTGTCCTTCTTTATTCCGATTTCATACCGCCAGGTTGTCAAAAATCAGAGTTCTAATTAAACATTAGAATACAGCACAAGAAAAATGAACGTTCTCTTTAAAAGGTGTACAAGTGAAAATGGTGAATTAATATTCTTTTTTAGTGGAAAATGTATATCGAAGCATTGTGCACACAAAAAAGTCAGGAATTATGGAACGAGATTCACAAATCCGTGATTTGGAACAAACCTTTTCTCTTAAAGTCACACTGAAAGAATGTGATTTGATACTTCTTGAAAAGCCAGAATCTCAACACAGTTTGGCTCTTGCTGCTCATACTACTGCTGTCCTGAATATGAACGATGCACGCGAATTATTGAATGTTAACTTGGAGATACAGGTGAGTTTTTTATTTGTGCAAATTAGCAAGCATTACACGTAGGACTCATCTTCGGTATCTTTAAAGAGGAGGATTATATATATGTACATTGCATATTAAAATGGTTTTTATAGTGGATGAACTTGGACTGGTTCATGATGGCATCTGAAAGTGAAAGCAGATGTCAGTTAACCAACGATTTTTCGATGACAATCAGTCTTTCAGTGGAAGGCGATACAGATTTCGAAGGACAACCTCCAAGGCTTGGGCTTTCTTCAATTATTCCCACTAAACATCAAATTACTGTAAGTTTTCTGCCACGTTTTTATTGAAAATTAAAAGATATTGGTTTTCCTTTACTCTTTATTTAAGAAAATATAAAACGAGTCTTTAGAAAGCTAATACTGATATTTTAATATCTTTTCTGAATTGACTTGTTCTTAAAGGCTGAAATTAGTGATATGGTGGCTAGAGTATCATATCGAGATCTTCATGTGATGCGAAATGTTCTCGTTTCATCACTAACGAGATTGAACAAGTCGCTTGAGAAAAGTGTTGCTCCAATATGTGATTCTCATTTGGCTAGAAAAGGTAAATTCTTCTGGAAACTTAGCAGTTCAACCGCAGATTTTTCTCTTTCTACATGATAATATCAATTAAGTTTCAAATTCATTTGTTTTATACACCCTTTGCAGAAGACACATTAGTTAATGTTGTTCGCACAATTGTAAAAGGTGGTCAAATTTCCTTCTGGCTAATGGATGACCATCAAGGGACAGTTTTTCCGCTTATTCGATGCAAATTCAGAAGTTCGCTTTATACTTTTATGGGTTTCTCTTTTTCCTCATATTGGAGCTCTCCATTTGTTAATTTTAATGTCTGTTTTCATCCATTTTGGTTTAATTCCCGAATGCGACACATTCATATGGGTTTTTGGGGTACGATCGGCAATGAATGAATTCACTAATAGGTTTGGTACGAAATCGCATTCTTGGTGAACCATTAAAATTTTTTCTGCATCAGAGTCTTTACCTGGCCCAAGATTCCTTTAAAAGAATGCTTTATTGATGATATCCCTTGAGAAATAGTGTTTTGAATCAAAAATCACCTTTTAGAATTTTATTTGAATCGATATCTGGAGAAGATTAGTGGTTCGTTCACGTTTGCCGCAGATTATTTCAATCAAAATGTTTTTGGTTGGGAACCATTAATTGAAGACTGGGAATTGAAACAACTAACAGTGTTTACCAGGAACAGCACTATATTTATGGACGTTTTTGCTGGTAAATATCAACACTTGATTTTCTTCGCAATTATAGCACGACAATTGAGTAATTTATTAGTTTACTAGATATTATAGAAAGATATTTCATATATGCCGTACTGTTATTATGATCTATCCAGTTCTTTTTGTAATTTTTTGATGGGATGCTTACTTGAGCGATAACAAATAATCACTGTTGGCAACAATAGAAAGTAATTTCGGTTTTTTTCCTTTCAAATTCATTGCAGGTGAGGTCAGTACCTTTAACGTCAATATCACTCAAGCGTTTTTGCGACAAGCAATGCGTTTCAGTTTGCAACTGTCCGAAATCAAGCATGCTGTGGATGAAGATTTTCGGTATGTTTTGAATAGCATTTGTATGCGAATTATTTTTTGCGGGTTTTTTTTCCGATTATTTTTTTTAATATAAGACTCGCCGTGAATGTTATGAAAGTGGATGAATGCTGCTATGATCTAGTTCTTCAACCTGAACTTTTCAGGAAAATTTCATACAATAAGACCGACAAGCAAAAAACTTTTCTACACACTCAGCAATAAGATTCATAATGTTTCGTATAGATGAATAAATATAAATTTTTCAGTGGATCACGTGTGCGATCAAGGTCAGATCATCTTCCTTATATTTTACACAATGAAACCGGTTCTAACTTACGTTTCACAACAGCTACTGACGAGGTTTTAGAAGCCAGATCCATGCAAAGGAAGTCCACAGCCAAATGGTATCAAACAGCACCAGATGCTTCAACTACTTTCGAATTTCCTACAAAGCGGCTCACCATTGCAGTTTGTTTTTAGTCCATTTCTTTTTGTTTATAAGATGATAGGCTCTCAAATAATCAAAATTTTTAAGGAAAATTCAGAAGAAATCCATCAGCTCATAATCCGTGTGGATGGCTGGGATGAAATATCTCCGGTAAATGTGGATGCAGTGGGTACATATTTCCGTCTTGCCAGATGTTCAAATTCCAGAGCTACAGACGTAAGCGATGGTTAAACTTTGGAAGGTTGATAAGTAATTGTTTGGCTCATACTTAGTATTCCATAACACTGAAAATGTTTGTACCAGTTTTTCAGAGTAATTTCGGGATTAATGTCCGTTTGGTCATTGTTGTTACAATGGATAAGAATGGTCGAAAAGTGGTGACTATACGGTCGGCATTAACAGTTATTAACCATCTTCTTGACCCCATTTTGCTGATTCTTACTTGTGGGAGTTCGAAAGTTCCAGGTATATCAATTTCTTTAAACTGTATTGCAAGTATTAAATAGTTTATGAAATTTTAATGCATCATCTGAAAATAATTTCGAGATAATGGAATATTTTTTTGTTGAAGAAACATCAATTATTCGAGTTGATCCGATGAAAACATTGCATGTGCCACTTAAATTTGCGAGCGCTTCGATGGCTGTCAAACCAGATAGTTGGAATTGTTCGAAGACTCATGAAGTATTTTGAAAAATAATTGAAGATATTCTATAAAATAATTGAAGATATTCTATATGTTTTGTTTTTTTCAGGTCAGATGGCAAGAAGCAAAAGTTGCAGGCGAAAGAATCAATAAATTGTTGAAATTTGATATATTTGATGCATGCTATTGGTAAATTTATGGCTTTTTTTAAAACTTTGTTTTTTCTTTTCACTTAAATTTGGAGATGCTTGAAACCGTTCACGTTATCACTGATCGATTCATCTCAGTATGCGAAAATGAGTTGTTGTAGCTCATCTTTTTCAGGATGCGCTTATCGATTAAACGAGAGCATTATCCGGAATACGAAATGCTTTCTGGACATACAATAAGTTTCTCACCTCCTCTCTCTGTCCTCAATTTATTGCCAGTTGATGCAGAATTTCAGATTATTGGTAGAAAATATGCTGTGTCCGCCAGCAAACAAATAAAAATTACTTCTGTGAGTATTTTTTCTACTTTCAACTTTGCAACTCGAAGATATTTGGCTTCGCTTCTAAATTCTCATTCTGCGAAAGATGTGTCATTTGGTGCGAGCTTAATTTCTAATGGCAGAACCACTGCTTTTTTCATATTATGTCGAAATTGCTCAGTTGCAGGTTAATACTGCTGAAAATATCAGTTTTGAGGTTGCCACGGATCGATTCGTCTCGATACGCGAAATTACAGTCACAAAGTATGTAACTCAAAAAAAAGAGTGATTGTCACTTCAAACTTTCTTTTATCAGCAGGACATTCATCAAGTTGGAGATTTCTGAGTTTGAAAATTCTCCAGCTTAATTTTGCTTATGAAGTTGAAATTAAAATTATTTGAAGAAACTTAATGTCAGTATTTCCATATATTTTTCAGATCTTCACTAATGCAAAAAGCCGGTGATGTAGATCGCTTGCATTTGCGCATGAAAGATTCTAAAAAGCGATATCTGGACATGTACTGTAGTTTAAGTATTAGTAACAGTGGGACTGTTTTGCTGGCTTTGTGGGTAAATTTTCCTTTCATTAATTTGTTTTTTGCTATTCTTCCAGAAATGGGACGAGTTGAGTTGCGCTTCATTCTGATATGTAAAAAATCCCAATATTTCATTATCTTGTGATCATCTTTGCTTTAAGCGCTTTTTAGCTTAAACCTTAAATATTTTGTACTGCTTTGATATCATTCTGATGCTGGAAACATTTTAGTATATTATTACAGGTACCATACTGGATCGTTAATAAATCCGGTATTCCACTAATTGTCAAACAGGAAGCAACAAATGGCATAGCTGCTGGACAAATGGAAGAACATGAAAGTGCAAAGGATCGAAATCCATTAATGTTTTCATTTGCTAATGACAGCTGCCCAAAACAGTATATCTTGAAATTTTGAATCGGATTGAAAAACTGTTTTAGTTTTAGAACGATTGTTGTATACCTTACTATTACGTAGTTAAAACTGCAAAATTAATTTTTGCAGATGTACTGTGAGAATCGGCTATAATCATACCAGTGATCAGAGATACAAACCATTGTTTGGACCCAAGTTTCCACTTACAGTTGGGCTACATTCCATGAAATTACGGCTAGTTCACGACCAGCATCCGACACAGTTTGTTTTCACAATCAAATGCTTGACTTTTCATGTTTTAGAGCAAAATTTTTCTTCCTACTAATGTGGACATTATGATTAAATTTTGAATTTATTCGTTGTAGGATATACAATATCGGTGTGGAAGTGCGGCAAGGAACTGGTAGATATAAAGATACTCAAGTTGTTATGCTCACTCCACGTTATGTGCTCAGTAATCAGACCTCTTTAGGACTTTCATTAAGCCACATCGATCACATTGATGTATGTTATTTTTGCTGTATCCAGCTAGATGGCATTAGGAAATTGCAATATAATAACAAGGACTGATGTATAAACGTCATCGTTCCATTTATTTCCATTTATATTTAATAAGTTTCGTACCTTTTTTTTAAAAAAAAAGTAAACAGTAGTAGTCTAGGATATATGTACAATCTGGTTGCAAAACGAAAAGTATTGTTCATTTTATCTTATTAGGCGTTTAATTTAGAATTTTTTAGCAACCTAATCAGCATGTAAAAGTGGCTAGCAAATGCAACCTAATTTGGAATGAAAATTTTGAGGATAATCGAATGATATGTGTAAAACGTGATGATGTCAAGTACTGGAGTTGTCCATTTAGAATCGATCTTATCAACTCCTTTCATGTTACTATGAGGTTTTACTTTTAATTATGGAAAAATGTAAAGGGAACGTTGATTGTTAATGCATTCAAGAACATTTGGATTGCAAGACATTTTTAGAATCGAACAGATGCACAGTTTTCTAAATATTTCTTTATCATTATTAGTTACTTGATTCCTCCATTGAAAAATATGTGCAAAATATCAGTTCTAATGTAACAGTAACACGTTGTTTTAATAAAATAACCACATATCTTCTATTTAGTGTTGTTTTTTTGAAATAGTGTTTGATACGAAGTACATTGATCTAATAGCATTTCATGAGATGCTATACCTGGTTCAGATATTTCCTAAAAAGTAGAGTAACTCCTTGTCTACTATGCGAAAATCGTTTTTCTTCCAATATATTCATTTTGTAGAGACACAGATGAAACACCTCAGTTTCTAAGAGTTGAGGTGATACTCAACAGTGCTATATTTTACGTTACTTTCACGGACGTCCGTTACTACCCACCACCAATTCAACTGGAAAATCTATCCGACGTTCCTGTATTATATCAGCAAAAAATTGAAAGGTAAGGCAATAATAAACTCCATTTAAATGTTAAAATATACATTCTGTAATTTAAGGATGTTTTGACACCAATGCTAACTTGTTAGACAAAATATTTAAGGTCATTCATTACTTTTAGCCTTTCATTTCTCGTTTTTCACCCAACTTTTCAAGTCAGTTGTTTGCTATGCAGGATTTGTTTTTTACAGGCCTCGCTCTCATTTGCGTACGATTTGTAAAGCACGAAGTACAGTAGATTATGCTTGGGACGACCATTATGCCCCAAAATTACTGATACTTCAAGTGTTCGAAAACAAATCCAATTTTTATGATCCACAAAAGCCAGGAATGGGACCGCCTTTGGTGTATACTAACGATGTTTTCATCAAATTTGCGCATTCTTTTGATAGGCAACTTGTTTGTCATTTCTCTATGGAATGGAGAATTTCATTCCTTTAATAATTTGGCGTTCATTTTCTGTTTATTCACAGTACTACTTTGATTGCCTCTAGCTTTCTAATCATAATGTACCCCTTATTTGTTGTGTTTATAGGATATAATTGAATTTTTCCTCTATTTATGTTCATGTAGCATCATACATATGTTAATGAGTATTTTATTTCTTATGTTACTGACTAATTTCAAGGAAATTTTTTAGGAAATCGGAGGACGGCTTCACAGATGAACTTGAACTGGTATTAGAGGTACTGCATAAAGGGAAAGTAATACTCAATAAACTGAACCCCAGCGACGGTAGCTGTAACCAGTTATGGCGTTTTACGCAAGATGGTTGTGTTGAAAATATTGGAATGAATAATCGCGCAAAAACGGGTGAACGTTATGTGCTCGATGTTCTGGATAATGGTGGATTTGTGTTAATGATGCTAAAGCGAAACTCGGCAAGAGATCGTTTCCAAAAATGGCAATTTACACCGGTATGAATAATGGTTTTATATGTTTACTTTTCTGCTGAAGTGCACAACGGGAAATTATATGCTATTTAATTCCATAAGGTGTGATGTGAGAAAACTTGAAACTTAAGTGTACATATTAAATAAAATTATGGTGTTCAATTAAATGAACATATAAATTAGCTTATGAAATTCTAAAAGAATTCGTTTTTGTAAAAATTTATTTTGCGCTGTTAGGCTGAGTAAAATTTCTAGGAGAAGCAGTTACGTTGTAAAGTGGAAGGAATGTTTGTTGAAGCACGCAAAACAGAAGTGGTACTTGCTGTTCCGAACAAGAAATCTGCACTAAATAAGAAAGGAGTTCCGCTTGAGCAAATATGGGAACTGCAGACGCAACTCCCTGGAAGTGGCATTTTAGACATTGAATGCTTTCACAGAGGACCTACTTTGGTACTGCTGTTCGAGAATTTTTGATGAGTTCTGATTGTGTCTTAGTCACTTTCATTGTGACGCAGTCATTATCCTAAATTCCTGCAGTTTTATGCTTTCTGACAAACTGATGTAATTTATCACATTTTTTTAAATCCGGGAATTTTTCTTTCTAAGTCTAAGCTTTTTTATATCAAAATTGTTGAATTTTTCCAAAAAAATATTTAAAGCCAAGATTACTGGTCATGTTTTGTTATGAGAAGCATATTTTGTTAGCGATAAGATTGTATTTGAAGGTAGTTCGCATAACGGATCGGCAGAAACCATATCACGCACATGCAATACATCGTTCTGGTCAATTATTTCGTCTGCAACCACTCTCCAGTACCTGTGAAACAAACTTTAACAGTGTGTGGAATTTCGAAGTAAATGTTTCGATGCGAAATGGTAAGCCCCACTAGATTTCCAGATCTTCCAGAAGGCTGCAATTTGTAATCGTTAAGGAAATCAGTCTTTATTTTCTTCTTATAAAGGAAAATTAGAAAAATAAATTTAATTTTTAAGTAATTCATTCTATTTAATAGTGCAATTGAAATTATATGATTCGATCATTCCGCTTAAATCCATCCAGTAGAGTAACTCATTCTGTCAATGTCCCACGTAACGCATATTATTTCAGTTCATTAAAAGATGTTATATATCAAACAGCTTGAAGTACTGCAGTGCTGTGTACTCTTTTTCAGATTTTAGATATTATATTTTCATATTATTATTTTGTCTTATTACGCTTTTATGCTTAAATTCTGAATACGAGAAATCTCATTGAATATAATTATAGGTATTGGACTGTCTTTCATCAATGGATTACATGAAGAACTGATTTATGCTCGATTTCAAGGAATAGTGTTGCATGTGAATCGTCAAGGTCCAACATATCAGATGACCGGCAGTGTTGAAGTGATTCAGGTCTGGTTTGTTTTTAGACAAATATAAATCAACTAATAATCACAACTAATTAGTTTTCTAAGTTCAGTATTTTTAAAGAATTTTTGAAGCTTCAATATTTTTTCACTTTCAGGCTGATAATCAGTTGCTGACGACGGATCGATGGCAAGTTTTGTTTTGTCAACAAGACACGACAAGTATCGAATCAAATCTCGAATCTCATGTTTCATTTCCTGCTTTGAAATTAGAAATGAATTGCATGCCGTTGGAACATTACGATGCATTTGACGTGCGTTATTTTCAAACATTTTCGTTATTTATAAATTCGAATTATTATATATCTATCAACTTCATCGATACATATATTGCAAACCGACGAAATTTGAAAGCAGATAAAAGTTTTCTGCTTGGAGGGAACTGTAAGTAATTCTCATCCGGAAATTTACTCTACATGTTTTTCATTTCTAGTGTTTTCGGTTGAAAATGTGTGATTTATCGATACAGCTCGATGAAACACTATTATGGAAAATTGTCCAGTTTGTGCAAGGTGTGTTAACTTACATCTGAATTTCACTTTTTTTTGATTTATCAGCTGCTGGAATACAGTGGAATACAACTATGTCTCTCTTTTGATATTGATCCTTGAAAAGTGCCTCAATGAATCCTAGTGTTTTTGTCCAGTCAGAACAAGTCTTTGTTTTGCTCAAGATTTTAATCTTGCTTTAAAATGTTCTATTTTTTAGAAGCGGAAGCTGCTGAAAGTATGAAGCCTAATGCGTTATTGCAGCCACCAAACACAGAGCTTGATAAACTAGATCGTCTGCAAGCGCGTAAATGTTATTTTGGAACATTTGATTTGGAAATTGGTGCTGTGGGACTTTCAGGTTGCTTTTTTTTAAACGTAGAATTGTAGCTTCTAATTTCAATTTCACTGACGGAAGTTTTTACTATTTAGTTGTAACAGTTGGGACGAATGGCCTGCCACCTGATTTGCGGAAACTGAAAAGGCAGTTCAATGTGAAACTGGTCAGTTTTGAAAATGCAATAATTTCTCTTCCACCATTTCGACAATTTCGATATTTTGAAACGTTTTCATTTCTGGTTGAAACACTCAGCAAATTTTATCTCGGTTAGTTAAAATTGTTAGTTAAAATCTTTAAAAATCTTAAACAGTGGGTTGTTTGTAGGTTTGAATTGGATTATTTAGTTGTACTTCTTGCTCAATCTTTTTCAACATCGATTTGTTATTGTTCTATGATCGCGATGCACTCACTGAGCATTTCCAGTATTATAGATAGCTTTGATAGTAATGGTTACTTTATTTAACACCAAGTATTTGTAGCTCTCTTTTAATGACGTTATCGCTAGCTTTTGAGTAGATTAAATAAAAGAGGTGGTGGTTTTAAGGTTAAAGAAAATCAAAATTTAATTTTTCAGGAGAGTTGAAGAATCAGACCTTCAACATCATAGTGACGATGGATGCTTTCGGTAATCCATTGGGTCTGGCTTCTGATTTGAAGGAAAGTTTCGAAGGACTGTTGTTCGAGGGCAATTTGGGTGGTTTTGTTAGCGGCTTAGGATATTGTTTTACCAACAGCTTGTCGAAGGTATTGCACATGTTACTGTTTCATCTTAAAAAAATAATATTATTTGTCGAATGGACAATATACATCTTTTAAAGTTTGGTCAAACGAAATATTTAGAGTCGATGGGAAAAAAATATTTAGAGCTCCAATAACTTCATCAAAACTGAATTACTGAGTGGAACATTTCTGCTGATCGTTCCACAATAAAATTTGCAATATTCTGTAGGTAAATAAAGGCTTTCTGGTGATCTGCGTCATAGCTGAGGTTGATATGAAAGGGAACTCGATATCTTTCTCTTTATTATTCATGGATATTAGCTGACAGCGATAATGGAAGCTTAAAAAGTTTCAGTAACAACTGCAAAAACAGTGGATATCTTTGGATTTATTCTGTGACAAAAGATTGTGTTTTGCAGGTAGCATCATCAATGGCTACTGGCGTCGGTTCGCTAACGTTCGATGAACGACATGAAATGATGAGGCGACGAATGTTACGTTGTCAGCCGCAGGCGGACAGTAATACTGCTCTTGCTCATTTTTATTGCGGTGTGAAGGTTAGTCGTTTTCTTATACACTTTTATCTTTCAGCACTCTATATTTCGAAAGTTTCATGAAGTTGCAAACAAATATATTTTGTTTTTCATCACTCAAATTTATCATTTTCGGCTTCTGTAAAATGTTAATTTGTCAGACTTCTATCTTTATCTAAGCTGGAAAAAGAATTTGTCGAAGAATCAGCTAAATTAGAATCCTCATTTTTTCAGGGTTTAGGCGTTGGTGTTTTGGGTGGCTTAACTGCTATTTTGACTAACACATATAACGAAAGTCGTAAAGGCGGACTTACTGTGAGTTGATTTGTGAGATAAAATTTCTACAGAATGGAGAATTTTGGCTTTTGAATATCTTCACTTTCTTTCCACATAATTTCGAATCAAAAGTTAGATGTACACTAGTCTTGGGCCTTCTTCCATGGAAAACGGAACTTTATTGAATGATTTATGATTCAGTATAATGCAGGGTGCTGTACGTGGAATTACAACTGGTGCTGTGGACACGGTAACGAAACCTGTGCAAGGAATTTTCGATTTGGTCGAAGGAACAGCTTCAGCGGTTAAAGAAATAGTTGGCGGTCCATCAAGTACATGTTGACTTTCATTTTAGATGTTCGAATTAAAGTTGTTTGATAATCTTTTACTGATAAAGCATGTCAGTATCAACCCACAATTCATCTTTAGCTGCTGATACTTTACAGAAGTTTTGATTTCCTCAATGTTTCGATTTTTTTTTATCTGGTTTCACCTACTTTTCAGCGAAGAAATCACGTTTTCCGCTTCATCGTGTCCGATTACCGCGAGTTACGAGGAATTTACAATCGCTTTTGCCGTGCTATTCCGAAGGACTTGCCTATGCACAGTTAGAGCTTTTGAGGATTAATGGTTTCGCCACAAATGAAATGTAAGCTCCAGCTAGAGGAGATATATAGGAAAATTTCAAATTTATCCGAGAAAGCGCCTTTAAATTTGAAAAACCATTGGGTGGCATCGATCCAACTTTATTTTACGTTGAAATCGTTTGATTTTAGAATTTTTGTTTGGTATGATTTGCAGGTTATTGGATGTGGAAATGTTATTGGATCAAGCAACAACCAAAAATCGAGTAAGACAGTATGCGTTGGTCTGTTCCGAACAGTGTTATATTGTTCGACAAATTGATTTAGAACCCAGTAGTGTGGTACAAAGGATACCTTATAAACAACTTAAATTTATTCAGGTAGTTCCTGTCAGTGAAAAGAATAGCTTCGTTGGAACCATAGGTATTGCTTTCCTCCTTTTTCATTTTTGGATTGCTCAATTTCAAGCTTTTGTAGTTTGAACATTTTTCCTCCTTTGCTACACTAAATTGCTTGTAAACTAATCTTTCATTGCTTTTGCGTTCTCGAAAACATTGCTGTGTAGAGTTTTGCTAACATGAAAACGTTTTTTATTGGTTCAAATCTTATTTGAACCTTGTTACGGTAGCTTTTCGATATTATCATTCGAAAGACAATAGCTGGAATTGTTTTTATTTTTATAAATGATTTTTCGACATGAAATCTCTTCATTAATTTTTTGGAAATTCATTCTCTTTTTCAGTGCTTGCGCAGTTTTATTTGGTAAATGAACACTCCCAGTCGTCCGAAAACTTCATAGGAGACTTCAGAGGTTGGATGATTAGATGAATTTTTTTTAGAAGTAGTGCTAGAAGTTTCATCTGGTCGAAGACAACGTTTACCACATATATGGTGTGATCGTTTTGAAGTAGCGAAAAGACTTTCTGAAAAGGTTGGTCGAGCTAAGCAGTTGTACGATCATGGAAAAAGAACATTAAATACTGTGGATGACATTGATATTCTTTGATAATATATCTCCTGAATGCTTTCTCAATTCTAGGTTTTGCTTTTCACTTCTAAAGTTGAAGGTTAGACTGTTTAATATTTCGTACTATGTTTTTTTTTTCTCTCTTTCATTTTCTCGCTGCTGATCTAATAGCTCGTTAATGAAATGTTTATTTCCCGAGCAATAAGATGTATCTTCCTCTTTATAAAGCATTATATGGAATATTTAGGAAGCGCTTACTAATCACTTTTCACCTCTTTACGTTGAACAGTAGCCATATCAAGTTAGAAAGTTCCATGGTTCAGGCAAGTGTTTAGCATGATACCAGTTACTAGAGTTTGAAACATTTTGAGGATTCAAAAGCAATGTGTATCGAGTGTTTTTCAGATTAAAATATTAAAAATTCATAATTTTTTGTTCCTATGTAATACTTTATATTATGCATGGAAAAAAAAACTCCTTAAGTTATACAAATGCCACTTCCTTATTCCTAAATCGTTCTATTTTTTTCGACATTATTCGGTAGCATTATGATCTCAGACATGCTTAATGTCAGTGTTTGAGTTCTGTTGCTTCTGACTTATTCAGTGACATTATGATTTCAAGCATGCTAATTGTTTGTTTGAGCTCTTCTATCATTGTTTTTGCTAAACTTCCCGCTCAAATTCGATTCGAAGAGTAGATCAGTCGTGTCCTGATTCGAAAACGGGTGAGAGTGATGGAAGGAACAAGGACAATTTATAGCATATTAGATTCTTTTTTCTTTTCTGCCAGATATTCATGAAGCTTTTTGGGGAAGAAAGAGAAGGAATTTACTTCTGCCGAACATTTGTAGTTATAAAATTTTGAGTATTAAATGCCTTTTCTATTTTGCAAGATTTCCTCAAATTTCTTTTTGTAGTCATTTACAGTATTTTTTTGGAAATTGTTGCTGCTTCTACTTTACTAAATCAATAGTGTCAGATGGATTCAAAACTATTGGGAAATTCCTGCTAGATTTTCATGTTTTAATAAGTGTTGCTCAAAATGTTCATGATCAGTTTCGTCAACCATCTACAATTTTATATGCCCTGTAGTTCTGCTTTATGGATTTTCTTCTGAAGGCGAAATTGAAGTTCTTGAAATTTAGATATGATGTTTCTGTATTTGAAAGTATGTTTCTGAATTTGAGATTCTTCGAAATAGTTTTTCAAAAAAGCATGAAAAGTGTGAGAGCATGAAAAATGAAAACATCGATTCTGTGATGAAAGTACTGATTTATGTGCCTATTGTATGATGTGCTTTGATTGGATTGTTACATTTGTTATTTGTCTTTATTTTATAAGAAGATACTTGTTATTATTTTATAAGAAGTTACTTCATGGTTGTTGCAACTTGTAATGAAAGCTTTGAAGTTAAATTTTGTTTTGCTGTCATGCTAGCAAATGTATTATCAGTGCAAAGGCATCTGCTCATCTTGTTTCTTTTTCATAATTATCGGTGATTCACCGTAAATAATGCTCTGCTAAATAATACTCTACTCTGTAAATAATACTCTGTTTAATTTTTCTGTTGGTATTCTTTGCCATGATCTGAGCAATATTTATCTTGAGGTTGAGGATAATTCATTTAGGGTTATGCGAAAGTAGCGTCAAATCCTACCTCGGATAGACACACTAATGAAGGGAGATTGATTTCCTTTCCAGTGAGATGTGATTTTTCTTGGCTTGTTATTTTATGAAATCATTGAAGAAATTATTGTTTCTGAAATTATTGACCTTAAGAAGTTCCATTATTTCATCTGAATGCGGTTGTTGAATACGTTCTTCAAGAAAAGGTCAAAAGAAGGTTATGGTAGGACCACCTTTATGGTCTCGCTGTTCTTCACCATGTTTTCCACTGGTTAGCTATCTGTTTTAGAATTGAAATATGCCTAAAAGCTACTTTGTCAATTCCCCAACAGTTTCAGAGGCTGAAATTAAATTTAAATATTTCCTATTCTATTGTTTCGATATATTTTACTGAAATTATACTTTGCAGTATTTATGGTTTGGACAGAACAGGAGCAGAAAAGGCGTCGTCAGGCTAACGTTAAGGAATATATTCATAAACTCCAGCAGTAGGTTATGAAAAGAAAGTGTCGAAATTGTTCTGTTTAAAATTTTACGTACGCATTGCTTTCTGAGTCAAATTTTTGTACAGTTTTTTGCCTTCATCAGTGATGGCATATTTCTGTTACCTTTTTGATGTGCATATTGGTGTAATACATTAGGACAAATGAAAATGCAAAAATAAGGCGGCATGAACAATTAGTGTGTTTCAACTTGATCGGAACATATTTTTTAAGCTCTACTTTAGCTAATGGTTTGTAAACGGATGTAAATGGTCTAATATGATGTCAGATTAATAACACTTTTTTGTTTTGCATCTTTATCACGAAATATCGAAATAAATTGCTGTTTTCTGTTGATTGCTGTTTTCAGATAATTTCAGCTGGTCTCGCACTGTTTTATGTACTTTCAGTAAACTGTTGTTTGGAAAATAAACAGATTTTATTAATCATCTGGAGTTTGTGTCGAAAAAAAGTGGTGTTAATTTGAAAATTTTAATAGATTTTATCGTTCCGATGGGAAAAGGAACAGTCCACGTTTTTATTAAATCTCTTAAAATGAAGACATTGTAGATGTGGTGTTGGTTTGGTTGATCGATGGTTGTTAGTCTAACATAAAGTTGAAATGCAAACGTTGAACAATTGCTTGCGTAAAACAGCTAAATTAGCTAGAATAAATGAAGCCCTAGTGTCGAGTGGTGCCACTGTGATGTCCCGTGGAATTCCAGCTATTCTATCAAAATTTCCTCCTGGAAATAGGTAATCATGTGTCGTTATGAGTAATGCTTGAAGTGACTCCATTTTTCTAGTTTAGGTAATCTATGATAGATTGTTTTGACTTTACTTTTTACATTCTAATTTGGCATCAATTAATAATCTTCAGTGTTATCATGAAATATCTCTTTTTTGAGAAATTTTTTTCACTGAACATTTCACCGACGTAACCAATGTCTTTCATTGCCATAGCGGTTTTTGTCTATTTAGTTCTATCATTTTACTTGGTATTTGAACTAATGCGTATCTATCAGTTCGTGTGGTACC